TTTATTGGAGGAGATGTTTTTTTTTAAAGAAAATCATTTTCTTCGATCAAATCATAGTTAGACCTAGACAGAGATGGATGGATTGCGTGAAAGGTGACATGATCGAGAAGGGAGTGATGACTGAGATGACGGATGATAGAGGTATTTGGAGGACGAAAACCCGGCGCGCCGACCCTACGGGAGTAGGACTCTCCACTACCTTAGATGATTTATTTTTTCTTTATTCTTGGCAACATGCATACAGGAAACCATCTCTCTCTTTACTTATATGCCCGTAGCTGTAACAAATCAAATATCCTGCTAGCTAAGTAGCTAGTCAGTACCTGGAATGCACGTGTATTCCAGGTACTGGCATGTCTGTTAGTATCTGGCCCATACCAGTAACTTGTATGCAAGTGTAATTTCATACCTGATGTCCTTTATATTTGATTAATTCTTTAATCCTCTCCACGATGAAGAAGTATCCGTCGTGGTCATAGTATCCGATGTCGCCGGTCTTAATAAATCCCTCATCGTCCATGATGTCGCGGTTCGCAGCCTCATTGCCAAGATAGCCCTTCATCACGACGGGCCCTTTGATACAAATTTCCCCATTCTCTAAAGGTCCTAACCTTTTTCTAGATTTTACGTCGACAACCTATGATAAAATAAAAAAAATCTTCGGTAACTATTTCGGCTTAACATAGTTTTTACACTTACGTACAATCAAGGAATCTGGCAGTGTTCCACTTTAAAAGCTAGAGTCGTTTGAAAGTTTTGTCCACATTTTTTTTAATATGAGAAGGGGGCAAACGAGCGGCGGGAACACAGAGGTGGTCAACGACGCCCATGGACATCCGCAACACCAGAGGAACATTATGACAACGACACGAAACAATAAGACACAGTTTTTTTAAGAGGCGGAGTTTGTTTCGTTGTAAGGAAGAAGGCAATTGTTCTGTAAATGAAACACCACGGATTTTGCGACTGTACAAAAGAGACACTAAACGTACTTTAACGCAAACTCCCGGTAGCGGCGGGCCCCCGCTGCCCGGCTTGTGAATGGTGGCGTCGTCCTCCGGGTCTTTGGTGGCCGCGGTCGATGTTTCCGTCATACCGTACGCTTGCAAAATACCCTTGCAATTCGGAAAGCTGCATAGAAGAAAAAAAACTTTGCAATTTACTAACAATATATGAACTGAGTGACTACTACTTATCGGGCTTACATTTTAAATCAATTCATAGTAGCGAATATTCAAAATAAAATAAATCTTGGAATCTCTTAAAACTGACACATAGTGAGTAATTGTCACTAATCGGTTTACTTAGTAAGCAATTAAGAAATGTGAGTGCGTTAGTGCTTATGTAAATACCGTCGCATGACTTGTCTGATGGTGTCAGTGGAGAGCGGCGCGGCGGCGCACCACGCCAGCTTCACTGACGACATGTCGTATTTCTCCACCAGCGGAGATTTCGTGAAGAATATCATCATAGGAGGTACTGTGAATAGCACATTCACCTGCCAAATGTATTAATTATAAGGAAATCTTAAAAAGCATCAACTTAAAGGTACGTTCAGATATAACGAATGCGATGCGAAAGTGCTACAGCAATTTTATAAACTTTTTGCTCGCCATGGACACAACCAATTTTGTGGAACCCAATTTTTTATAGATAATGAAACAGTAATAGAACCTTATACTTCTCAATTGCTTGCAAGTATTGTTCCGGAAAAAAACCGGGGAAGTATACAATCATCTTGCCGTTGGTGAGGTTATTAATGGTAGTCATAAGGCCGTATGCGTGGTACCACGGCACTACCGTTAAGTAGCATACCCGCAACCGACTCTCCAAGCTGTCGCTCCTGAAGGAGAAGTTAAGTGTTACATTCAGCAAAGCTTCACAATTATAGCTACATTTCAATAATAACGTACATTAAATTAGATGCAGCATATAAAGAGTTTAGGTGAGTCAACATTACACCTTTGGGAAGACCAGTGGTACCCGAGGAATACAATAGGTAAAGTGCATCTACAGCGCCTTGCACATCTCCAGTTTCAAATCCCTGTGGCTCTACCTTCACATATACGTTGTTAAATGCCACAATGTCACTGTCTACAGGTTGTCCATTCATTTGAATATATGTTTTTATACAGCCCGCCTGTTTATACAGCGCTAAGTTTTGTTTGAGTACTACTTCCGATGCTATCAGTATGGAAGGTTTTGAAATATTTAAGACGTGAATAGCCTCATCTAAAACCAAAATAAATAATTAATTCATTCATGTTAAACGAACGTAATATACAAAACCGCAGAAAATTGATAATCGTTCAATCGAGTAGCCCAATAAATAAGTTACTCGCCTTTAGTGTATTGTGGATTAAGTGTTGTGATGGTGGCACCGCAGCACATCGCCGCCATGGTGGCCACCATGTACTGCAGCCTGTTCTCGCTGCACAGCGCCACGATCACACCGCGCGTCACGCCATACCGCCTCAAGCCGGTAGCAAAGCTGACCACGTCGTGTAGGAGTTGTTTATATGTTATTTTTTCATCACTCCCACCGTGAACCTTAGACAAATAACCTTAACTTAAAAAAATAGATTTGATTGTCGGCTTGTCCCTTTTTCCTAACCAAAATCCCCCAAAGCAGTGTGGATAAAAGAACTAGAAAAAAGGAGCAAGCCTATTTGTCTTTTTATGAAAATTAAAATCTACCTTCTACCATTAACTGCTACGGCATGGCACTGCTTATAGTTCAATAAGTAATTTAAAACTTAAATCTTACCAAAGCAATCTTCGTATCGTCTGCACTGTGCTCTGTTAGTTTGTCAATAATGTATTGTCCAAAAGATAAATGGGCTGGAACGCTTAATGCTGGCCCACCGTAAACCACTCTGTTCTTTATAACCATTTTTGTTTACAAATACCCAATGTACTTGATTAACTGTAACAAATATAACTATTATAAATTCGAATTTACATAAGCTATTCACATTTAACAACAAAATTAGAACTAAACAAATTTAAGATAAAAAGGTGATATAATATTAGGTAAAAAGATAAGCAGTTGATATTATTGTAATTTTATTTGGAAAGGTAAAAATATCGTAGTCGTATCGCTTAAGCCGCTATTTTCTCCCACATTTAATAATTTGAGAGTAGCCCCAGTGGTAGAGAAGGTGAGGAGTAAAAGATTAGCATGGTATGGGCATGTTATGAGGAGGGATGAATCGCATGTTATAAGGAAAACGTTAGTTATGAGTGTGGAGGTACACCGGTAGAGGTAGATCTAGAAAGAGGTGGATGGATCGCGTTAAAGGTGACATAATCAAAAAGGGAATGATGACTGAGATGACGTGATAGAGTTATTTGGAGGATAAAAATCTGTTACGCCGACCCTACGGGTGTAGAATAAGGAGGACGATGATGATGATTTAAAAATCGGACGGAAAATTCTTGCTACAAATGTTTTCTTTATTAAATGTTCTTATTGCTTTCGTTCCCTCTAATCAAACTCTGCTCTAGACTTGTAGCTGTATAAAGTTTGTAAAAGCTTATATTTATTATTTTTAACAATTATTCAAAACTCATTGCAGTCAAGCCTTAAGTTTAAACAATATTCGTCGACATTTCTATTAAAAAAAATTTTTTTTTGAAGGCTGTAATTCTTCGGGCGTAACTGATAAATGCAAATCTTGAGGCGATTAACTTCGATCTTTTTACTAAGTAATAATTTTGTCTTCACACGTGGATGGGCGTGTACGAAGGCGTGCGTGGCATTTTACGGTAAAGTCATTTAATTATATTTATTGGTAGAAAATATAAGTCATTACAATAATGCCTGTTACCTGATGGTAATTGCGTAAATGACTAATCCACAAAATTCTGGCGTCATGTACCCACAGTCGCGGAAATTCGTGGTATTCCACTTACAGAAAAAAATGCCTTGATCCTTACATCAAACTCCGCCTTTCCTTACAAATGTAATGTAATGTACTTGCGCAATCGACGGAATAATCATTCGAACTACTAACCAACCTTTTTTCTTACAGACACTTTTAAAAGCTGCTTCCTATTGGTTATTGTTCTGAGCCGTTATGTCAATATAAACAAAATGCTTAAACGACTGTAGCTTATAAGATGGAACCACCAGATTCCCCGACTGTACGTACGAGTGCGAGCGGCAGTTTTTCATTAACCATCAATTTATTACCTCAAATTACCTATCCGTTAAGTACATATCTCGAAAGCAAAAACCTGTGTAATCTGTCCTTGGGTAATGACGCATGATTCTCGATTATCTACATTATTGTACAAATAAAATCGGACTTTGCCTCCCACTTTACAATATCATTCAAAAACAATACAAAAAAAATGTTACATTTGAATAATCGAAGACAATGGTATGGACTAAAGGTATGGAAACAATAAAGTTTAGGAAAATGTTGCCTTTTCACGTGAATAATCAGCTTTCTTACCACAAGAAAGGGATATAAACGGAAAGAGCGCTTCTGTTTTTGAATAAGTTAAGTAGGTACTAACGAAAAGTTGTTACTAACAATTAGTAAAGCAATAAAAATTTCTTAATAAGAGTTCCGTGGTTAGTTATTAAACTAATTCTATCGATATTAATCGATAGAATTAGCCTTCCCCATTGTGAAACTTACCCAACAATATTTTTTTTAATGAAAATTTAAACTTACGCGCGTAAACTTTCAAGCATGTCCACCGCCCATGGAACTACAACAAGATATGATAAATATTCAAATAAGCCTTATTTATCTTAACGTATAGGCAATTTACATTATTTTAAATTTAAATCTAAAAAATATTCAAGTGAAGAATGTAATAAAAACGTTTTAGATTATAATTTTTAATAACATAAGAGATAATTAAAAAAGAAGGAAACAGCATGAGATTAGAGATATTTATTTATTACATCGCATTGACGCATTCGCTTATGACGCGACTATATTAAAAATTAACCACAAGCAATTAATGTTAGTATAAAACAACATAGGTACAATTGGTGCATGCATATTTCTATATATTTTAATTCTACGTTGTTAAATTATTTTAAGGTCAATTTATCATAGGTTGTATTAGAAAAACAACAATATTATATCATATGTACCTACCTACTTTGTGTGTCCATAATGAAATAATCTTATCATTTACCGATAACACAACCAAAAACAAAAATGCTACTTAATACTTAAGTAACTGTAAGTAACCGTGAAATAATGTCACTTTGTAATATAAAATACTTGTAAAAATCACTACAGAATTCGCCAAATTAATGTAAGCTTTAGCTTTGCCGATATGTCTTTTTTAATAAAATAATGTGATATTCTAAAAATTTAAGGTTGGTTGACAAAATGTTTCAATGTCCGTGAATTTGGTTTGCTAATATGATCTGCTAAACTGACAAACATTGCCAAATGTCAACTTTGTTATCATTTATCAATACTTAGGTTAGAACCTGGATTTGAATTAACCTTGATTTTTATTTCTCACACATTCCTTTGTTAGCATTTTCCTATTATCAATTGCTTGAAAAAGATTACGTACGATTAATCAAGTCTTATAACAATTTGACTGTTCATTCCAGTTAAAAGTGTCTGGCGAAAGAGATAACAGGTGAATTAAAAAAAAAATACTCAAAAATGCCGGCTACTATTCACAACAACGTCGTTTCTGGTCCTGAAGAAGTTCTCATTCCAGGTCATTTATCCTATGGACAATTTATATACGATAAATTTAAACAAGCTGAGAATAAAATTGCTCTGGTAAGAAGGAATTAAGATTTTTTTCGGAAATTAACGGTTCAGTAATCTATCATTTCCGTATATTTTCATTCTAGATAAGTGCAGAGACGGGAGAGAGTGTTACTTACAAGTATATTTTGCAATGTAGTGTAAATTTGGCAGAAGCACTCAGATCACTTGGACTTAAGAAAGGAGATGTGGTAGCACTGAGCAGTGAGAATCGCTTTGAATTTGTTGTAGCGTCTCATGCTGTGATCTTTTGTGGTGCTACACTGTCTACTCTCAATGTCACTTATACACCAGGTATGTAACAGAGATGTTAATATTTACCCCATTCACCCATTGGTTAAAATTAATTTAGATTGTTTTTGTTTAAAGTAGCTTTATGCACTTCTACTTCATATTTACTTTAAATAAATCAAATTTCACATTAATCTATTTGTAGGATTTCCTACAAAAAGGATACAATGTTTTCTCTTCTTCTTTTACAGGGGAATTGACACACATATTACAAATTATAAAACCAAAGTTTATATTCTCATCGCCAATTATTGCACAAAATTTATATGATTGTAGCAAAGATTTAGAATTTGTTAGAAATATTATATTATTTGGAGAGTATGATGTTGTGCCATCGATAGTCTACAATGACCTGGTTAAGAAGCATGTGGATATTGATGACTTTATGTTGGCCGATGTCAATGGAGCTGATGATGCTGTAGCCGTGATGTGCTCCTCGGGTACAACCGGCTTGCCGAAAGCTGTCATGCTTACACATGTTAATTTTCTTACATTATCTGCTCATATGAAGTAAGTTACAGTAAATGTTTTGATTATTATAAAGTTACCTTCTATCGATTCTTCAATTAGAAGACTTCTTACAACTTTCATGCAAAATATCACAATATAGATGTAACATTTTCAAATAATATAGTTTTATTTTTTGTTACTATTTTTCCAGATATTACTTAGCAGAATCTCAAAGGAACAAGAATCAGGTTGTTAAAACTGGTCTATCCTTGATACCATGGTTCCATGCATATGGCTTCATTACAACAATGGCAGTCATGTGCATGCATATTGAAGTGGTATTCCTCATCCGTTTTGATGAACAACAGTTTTTAGAAACCATACAAAAATATAAGGTACGCTTCATACATGTAAACTGCAAACTTTTTATAGAATGTCTAATATTTCCATAATTGCGCATAAAATTAACTTAAATAATAAGAAGAAAGATATCTAGGTATATTTTAAATTATCTCATGTAACTGATAATAATTACTTAGTATTATAAAAAAAAATTGTTACTGGCCAGCAACAATTTATCTTTGTAATCTATAAAAAATAAAATTCTGAACATTGTTTTTTTATAATAAATTGCAGGTTAATATGACAACGATAGTCCCGCCACTAGCAGTATTTTTAGCCAAGAATCCTTTAGTCACAAAATATGATCTAAGTTCTCTCACTGAAATTTGGTGTGGAGCGGCCCCGCTGTCCAGTGACATACAGAAAATGGTCTGCCAAAGGTAATATTGCACTTCATACTAAATTTTTATACTAGCTGTGTATTATATTTTTCGCTCTGTGACCTAAGTATTGGTTTATAACAAGATTGTTGATAGAATTTTACAAATCAAATCCCAACTTTGTTACAATATTCATTCATTTATCAATTTATGTTATGAAAGTGAAAGTTTGGATGGATTTGTTACTATGTACCTCCGAAAGGGATTAACATATCTAAATGAAATTTGATACCAATGAAAAACATAGTCTGGATAAAGACAAGTTTTTTATACTCATAATGTGAGTAAGTAATATTTTTATTACAGAATCGGTATAGACTTTATAAAACAAGGTTATGGTTTAACGGAGGTGACAATGGCGTGTTGTGTGGACCTAACTAGCGGTGAAAAGATTGGCTCCTGTGGAACTCCTGCTCCGGGAATGAAGATAAAGGTATTATTTTGCTTTAAAACATAAATAAATTAAAGTTCACAATTTTTCTGTAATAAATATAAAAGGTCATTCAAAAAATGCATTGTTGATAAAGGAAAAAAAACTTCCCACATTTTTTTTTCCGGATGCAGAAACAATAGGACATGTGTCGTGTTAAGTCAAGTATGAGATCAAGGTTTTCTGTCTACTTGAGATTTTCCTGCAACTGATGTGAACTAGTCACAAATACTTTTTAAAGAATCAATATTATTTTATTATAAATTAATCCGATAAAATAATAAAAAAAATAGTGATTTTTAGAGATAATATTTATTGAATCATTTTTTTTTTTTCATATCCCTTATAAATATTGTTCCTAGGTGATAGATATTGACAATGGTAAGTTATTACCTGCAAGAGAGAAAGGGGAGTTGTGGATAAAATCTCCTTTACGTATGAAAGGGTACATGGGGGACCGGGAAGCGAGTGACGCGCTCATCGATGCTGAAGGTTACGTGCGGACAGGGGACATCGGATATTACGATGAAGATGGATTCTTCTATGTCGTTGATCGACTTAAAGAGCTTATTAAATATAAAGGATTTCAAGTAAGTAACATTCTAGTCTACAAATAAGTGGTCATGGTCTAAATTAAAAAAAATAACCTTGGAATTTTTTTTTGATTTTTTTTGCAATGCTAGCTCATTGTCTAAATTAAAAAAAATAGATTAAAGAAACTTTTTTGTTGGTTTGCAATTTTTATGATAATCATGATGATGTAAATAAAAAAAATGACCATAGAACCTATTTTTTGTTTCTTTTAAATGCTTGCGCATTGTCCAAATAAAACAAAATGAAATACGAACAATTTTTTTTTGTTTACAGTGCTTGCTCATTATCCAAATAAAAAAAAAAGATTGTGGAAATTTTAGTTTAAATAAGTCCATTTTTTATTACTTCAAAATCACATATATTGTTTACAAGTAGGTTGTTGTGACTACCATTAAAATAAAAAAATTGCATCAGAACATCTTCCATGACAACTATGATCGTGATCTAAAATAAAAAAAAACTGCCACTATCATATAAAAAAAGTTTGTTATCGATGTATAGGTAGCCCCTGCGGAGCTGGAAGCTCTGCTGCTGCAGCACGAGGGCGTGGCGGAGTGCGGCGTGGTGGGCGCGCCCGACGAGGTGGCGGGCGAGCTGCCCACGGCCTTCGTAGTGCGGCTGCCCGGCTGTGACGTCACACAGGAAGAAATCATACAATACGTAGCCTCAAAGGTACAGCACTTTGTATTCAGACATACTAGCTATCGCCCACGACAGTCAAAAAACAATGTTTTTTGCTATCCTCTACATCTATGCCGAATTTCATGGAAATCCATTCAGTGGTGTTCACTAAATGCGACCGATTTATAATAATAATAAGATATAGTGAGATTAGTAAGATAAGATACAAAGTCACGCCATGTTGTGGGAAAATATGCAAGTAATTGTTAAATCCTAAATAAATTTAAAATTGCTTGAATTTTCGTGATATTATATAAACTAGTCGATGCCGCCGCGAGAAAAATAGACGTGAATAATTAAAATTATAATTAGCTTACAAATTAAATACTTCGTTACTTACAATATGACAGACGACACATTTTAATTGATTGGAGTTTAAGTCTGGCCCTATAATTTACGATGTTGTTACATATTTGAATGTTTTAGTATTTGGTCATAATTTCATTACTAAAAAGTGTATCATAAAGAGGCAGATTGTAGCGTCCCTACTAAATTTTTTATTTTCTTTATTACAGTAATATTAACTTTAAATAATTAGACATTTAAAAAACATCATCATGATAAATGTATTAAAATCAGGTATTTAATATGAGTTAATTTACAGGTGTCTCCAGCAAAACATTTACGTGGCGGAGTTATATTTGTTGACGATATACCAAAGAATGCGTCCGGGAAGATATTACGTCGTGAACTTAAGGCGCTGTTACCAAACAATATTGCTAAAAGCAAACTGTAGATATTAGCAAAATTATAGTATTAATTCCTAGTCACAAGTGATTGTGTTTTTTATATCAAAACGTTTTTTGTTGATTTTTCTTGCCGCAGGTATTGGATTTTACAATTTTTACACGTTAAATGTACCATTGTATGGTGAAGGTTTTAGTTTTAACCTCCCCCCTCCCCACTGTTATATATTACATAAGTATAAAGTGATTTAATATAACGAAATTACCTCGTTTTCAAAAAACCTTGAACTTATTGTTCATATCAAATCGACTCAAGAATGGCTTTGCAACATACAGTAATAAAAATTGCCATTTATTGCTCTCTAGACAACACTCAGAATCGTCGGTCGCTAAGAACGTAGATTTGGTATTATTTGCAATAGGATTCTGTTTTAGGAAGCATTCTGAGTGTGATTGCTGAAGAGATTTAATCAAATGACAGTCGTATGATATTTTATTTTAGATAACATTTTTACATTCCTTGTTAATTATTTCGTTTTTGTTGATGGTGCAAATAAAAAACAGAAGTACACAAACATCTTTTATTTCCCTCTATATACATATGTACAATATTATACAAAATCACTTTTTAGATTGTAGTTCTTTTAGTTCTTCAGGTATTTTGCTCAATGCATAACTGTGCAAGTCGTTATTGACCGCTGCGAGGACTCCGGTCTTGTTGAGTCTTTGCTCCGAGGCTCCATATTTATAATAGTTGCCGAGGATGTCTGTCAGCTTGCCCCCCGCAGCACTCAGCACCGCTTCCGGCGCGCACGTGTCCCATTTCTTACAACCACTGGTAGCGAATACATAAACAGATGCTATACCTTCTAAAAGCTGTAAAACCTACAAAAACACAAAATTAATATTAAAAATATACATATCTTAATAAGTTTAATATAAAAGCTAAACAAATACATTTGAGAATTTAAAAAATACACAAAGTATATTTTTTAAACAGCAAATCGGCAAAAGCCAACTGATTTTTCAAATAAAACCTAAACATTTCCTTATTGGATCATTTAGTCTAATAACTCTTGTAAAGAAAAAACTAATAGTCAAGGTTATATATATCACCTTGTAATGTAATTGAAACCTTTCTCAACTATCAATAATAATAGCAGTATTTATTTAATTTTATTGCATTGTCAAAAGTTTATATTGGTTTTAGAAACGAAATAAATAGAAATAGATAAATTCTGATACATGTTTTCTATTGAATGGTAATTAATAAAATTTACATCATTTTCAAACTAGGCTACTTATCAAAACAGTATATATTCTTCTAATCAGATACATGACATTTTCTTATCAATTATTGCATTCATTGGTTTCTAACTGTAAGCAATCAACTGATAATTTGTATCATACCATAAAACAGCAACATTGTCTAATAATAATCTATATTTATTTATTAAATATTTCCTATGATAACAAGATGACCGCGAGAATTAAAAAAAAATAGCAAGTAACTTTGCTTCTACATCTCTGTCAAGTTTCATCAAGATCCATTTAGTTGTTTTGGAGATATGAAGTACAAATTTTGCATTATTTGCATAATATTGGCATGAACTATACTGGAAGAGGCATAATTAAAATTTAAACATAGGGTAGGCTCTAAGCCCCTCAGTATGGATGTCTTGTTAGCTTGTATGTTTAACTGCATTAAACTGTCTCTAGTGTATATTTAAAGTCACTTTTCATATTTGAAATCGAAAATGTTGTATTTGAAAAAAATATTTACCTTATAACCAGCACCACCAACCCTTAACACCTGACTGGCATTCATAGCTTGCAATCCTTTCTCCGCAAGGGCATTTGAGTGACTCCTTGTGGTGGTGACAATCAGGGAATCTGGTGGAGGGGCTGGAGTGAACCCACCTACGCCCACACCTTGCAAGCCCCAAATAGTCCTTCCCATTTTCTTTTCCCCGCCATTTAGAGTCTTATAATAGGGCTGGTGGATAACACCAGCTACTGGTTTCTCATTTACCGAGATTCCAATCAAAACTGTCACATGTTCCAGAAAACCTATAACAATAAAGAAATTCTATTATCAAAATAGAAAATGGAGTATTCTCATGCAGCATGCAATATGCAAATGTCATAGAAAACATCCCTGAAGTGTTTGTGTATTATACAAGAAAAATGATTATTAATAAAACCCAGTAGCAATCAGGCCATTGACAAAATTACATTGGAATTATAATAAATATTAGAGTAAATTCATGTTTGTTAATGAGTTAGGAAATTTATCATTGACCTTATGTTTAAATACACAAAAAGCTTGCTACCTACTACTTTCAAACATTCCATTTACCATAATTTGATTGAAGTAAACTTAAATACCATTTAATACTAATAAATGGATGTGTCAAATACATTTTCCATCTTTCCCATGGATCTCTCTTCAACATTAGGGCACCTAGAAGATTTTAAACAACTTAAGGGATATTTTGATTTTAATTATAGAAAAACATTAGATATATATATTAAACCATGAATACTATTTGTATCAAATAAATTTTTGAACTACCCTTTCTTGAAATTAAATATTTCAATTGGCAAAATCTATTGTCTGTGAAAAATCAATTAAACAAAAGTAATTAAAAGCAATTCAGTTCATTGCCACTTCCTATTTTGATTTAACCTTGCTAAATGTTCATGACCAAGAAAACAATTTTTTATCTATGTTTTTTAAGCTTTTAATACGGTTTTTCCAATAATTAAATTTCGTGCTTCAGAAGTTTGAACAGAATTAGATATTACATGATATGGAAAAGTACTTATGTATTTTAAGAATATAATATTGAAATCCTATCTTCATAATTTTACTTCATAGTGATACATTTTTGGCCAAATAAACAAATATTAAACAATATAAGGTTTATATTTTGTCAATTAATATAACAGCCATTTTTAGGAACTTTATTCATGATTTCTTTACCTTGAGTGTACTCCGAAGTGCCATCTAGTGGGTCCACCCACACAACAATATCCTCTTCCTTCACGCCTTGCAGACTAGAAGGGCATTCCAGAGACATAACATCTTTATCTGTGTCAATAACAATCCAATCACTGGGAACCTCACCCTTAAAAAAATAACAAATAGGAAAATTATTTATTTTTAATTACTTTAAAAGGAACTTGAGGGCAAAGGCGTATTGTATTTGTATATTGAAATCGTAACCTAAAACTCCTTTCATTTTAACCATGCCCTACATTATTTGTTCCCAATTGAATACTGGATTAATATTAACACAAAACATGTGAAAAAGTACTATACCTCAGTGTCTGGATTATCTTCTTCACCAATAATATTTATCTTAGGATATTGTGCAGCGAGTGATGCAATTATGCATCGTTGCGCAGATCTGTCTGCTTCCGTTTGGTAATCATCTTTACCCTGCAATAGAGAAACGTAAGCTATAATACCAATACTTTCTAATGTTATTGAGATCAGGGTACCGTTACTATGATTAAATTCAAGTTATAAGACACTAAAGATAACACAAACCTTTTCAACTATACCTAATTCCCCCTTACTCATAACATCTCTCACAATTTTTCCTGCCCTGTTTGCCACAGAAACTGAAGAAGCCAATAATTTAACAATAAGTGGAACAGGTGTTGACATTTTTGTTATTTAAAGCGATTTTGCTCGTTAGAACGTTAACAGTTTACAATTTGCAATTAACCATTGAACCAATTCAACATTGGCCAACCAAATCAAAACTTTTTGACAAATGCTGACAACAGTAATGACATTGACATTTACTTTTCGACATTGACGTTACGTAAAAAGTTGCCAGGTCCAAAAACAGGTCAAATATCAATATCAACGGTTTGATACGTTTCAATCAACTTTAACATTTTCTTTCTTTTACTCCTTTATAAAGTAGGATATGTTCGCAGATTTTCTTATCTCGCAAATGGTTATTATAGATGTCCTGATGAATAATATTTTGTCCAATATGAAGATGTCTTTGTCGTCCTACAAAAGCATATTTTATGGATGTATGTCTAATATCTACCGTAATATTTATGTAGTTCAATGTACATTTTATGTAAGAGAAAAACGACAGTTAAAATACAATATAGTCTTTTATTATTATATGTTTCTCACAATATTTTAAGGCTTTTTGTCTATCCAATTTTACCATTTTATTATACACATCCCATTACATTTTAACAATAGAAATATAAAAGGCACTTAATATTACACATAAACCGCTACCTCACCATAATTAGTATACCAAAATTGAAATAACAAATGAATACAAATACACTTAAAATGTAATTAACAATCCATGTAAATTATTTTAACAATATTAAATTTAAATATCATTACATAGTACATAGCAAACTATAAATACAACTAAATGGATTTCACTTAACACACTAAATAAAAATAAAAAACTCACGCCTATGGTCCTGAAATGTTGCTATTTTTTTTTATAGTCTTAGCAGAAACATGGTACGCTGAACATCGCAAACTTTTGCCTCATAGCCTTATTACCATTTACATTTTTTGCCCTAGGACATAATCAAAAGTCAAATCATCGTTATATTAATTTCATCATATTTATAACAATTAACATTTAATGATGATCGCAGATATACTAAATCATTAGCTCTACTTGAGGTTGCGTCTTCTTTTTTTGTTACCGTTTTGAAATTGAGTTTCTTAAACATATAAAAAACTTAATTGAAAACATCAGACACTTGTGTTCATTACATACAAAAAATATAAAAATATTAACAATATGGTGATATAATCAAATCTTTTAACATTTTTTAATAACAATTGTGTTACGTACATTAAAATTGTTCTTGTTTATTTCAAAAGATGGTTCGCTTTGAAACTTTAGCACTTACAAATGGTTATTGCACAAATTTAGTTTCCTTTACATTACAGGTATATAACTATGCATGGAAGATTTTTTATCATACTTAAAACATCTATCTTATATACTAACTAATTTATTATACATCAAAACATTATGTTAAAAATAACATTTCAATGAAAAAATCCATTACTTGTTTTGTTTGGTCTTAAATAATGGAATTACTTAGACTATTACTGTTCCGGTAATTTATTTTGTTGGTGGTTTTAGACTTTCTATTGCTAAGCCATGGTATTATTACGTTCAAACTTTATATATGCGTACAGTTTGTCTCACTGCGGATGTGGACATACCAATACATTGCTTCAACCCACAACTACACCACCTTGCTTGCTTGCTTGCTTGCTGCTTTTATCCACTAAGGCACGCCTAATTCGCGTTTACCCAACGACCCCTCCCCCCTTTCACTTTAACCTACTGATACACCACGCGCCGTTTTTACCAACTAAAACACTTCCATGTCACTTGTACCTATCAACACATCCCCTCTTAGCTTCAAACCACCAATACACCATGTCTTCACACGCCGATACTTAAAGTTGTGTATAACCAAATAGCGAGCCGGCATAAAGTTTGTCTAGTACTATACCATATCACTATTTTTTGGCATTAGTATTTATGGTGGCGATGGTGCCGACTTGCGCGAGGATGTGCTTGATGATCTGGTCTATGGTGTGTGTGTGCAGCATTCGTGCGATGTTCTTGTCGTCGATCACATACACGAACAAGTGTTTGGCGTTCTCTCTGAGCCGCTGCACTCGCGTCCATTTGTCGCGGTCAGCTGCGCGCGCGCCGCACTGCTCTATCACTTTCTCTAAAACCTGTTGATATACAAATGCAATATTTTACTTAGTTAAATGGTGCTAATGTTACTAAAGTTTTGTTTTTATTTTAATAATAAAGTTTTTTTTTTGTGAAGGAAACATGTAAATCTGTAGTATCTGCCTATTCATGGAGTGATGATGTTAATTTCGAGATTCTAGCAATTTTTTCAATTAAAGAAATTTTATTCAATTATAGTTAAAATTATTTTAAAAGAGTTGGTTAATGTCATTTTTTTTTAAAGTTCTTGTTCGAAGATCATTATGCGTTATATATCACGATACACATAATTTTACGTACCGTATCTACTGGCTCGTCCGGCCATCCAAAAACATCCAACGTGTCTTTATCGATAAGTTGAGTCAGCAATTTTTTAAGACTCTCTGCAAGCTCTTCTTCTGACATCAACGGACTGTTTTCGCTCTGGAGACAAAAAAAAAGTTAAAACACATATTTAAACTAGTTTTCGCCCGCGAGTCCGTCCACGTGGAATTAGACAAAAAACAAAAGTAGCCTCTGTGTTCTCCCAAACTATCATCTATGTATATCTATGTCAAACTTCATCTAAATCCATTCAGGAGTTAAGGCTACAAATTCTAACTAACTTCCATCCATCTAAACTTTCGCATTTATAGTATTAGTAAGATGGGCTATTTGAACATAGTATACTTTAAGATAATATCATTATCGTCTTCCTTCTTCTACTGCCGTAGGGTCGGCGCAACAGGTTTTCGTTCTCCACATAACTCTATCATACGTCATCTCAGTCAACACTCCCTTTTTGATCATGTCACTTTTCCCTCAATCCATCAATCTCTTTCTAGGTCTATTTCTACCGGTGTACCCTTCCACTTTTAGATAAAGTATTGTAAATATTAGTACTGACGGTATTTTTGTTGGTGTCGTTGGCGTTGTCGGAGTCGACCTCGAGCATGCCGCCGTACAGCACGCCGGTGCCGTAGCCCTCGATGATGCGCTCCGACTCCGCGTCCAGCACGTTCAGGATCGCCTCCAGCTCAGACTTCGTTACCCTCTCCGTGCCCACGTTCAGCCCCTGCAACAGATATATACTATAACCACTAATTCATGTTACTAAAAATGTATAATTTTCAAACCTCGTATTATCTAATATTTTTTAAAATAATATTGTAAATACTAATTTTCGATGTTTGTTTGGCTATTTCAAAAGGTATCTTCAAAAGGATGATAAAGGAACTGGATCTATCTCTAGAACGGCTGTACAGATTTGTATAAAAGAACATGTGTGTGTGTGTGTGTGTGTGTGTGTGTGTGTGTGTGTGTGTGTATGAGTGTGCGCGTGATACTGACCAGCACTTGTCGCACGTGCGTGAGGTGGTCGCGGAAGATGTGCCTGTGCTGCATGCGCACGTGGCGCAGCAGCTGCTCGCCGCGCACGTAGGCGCGCGCCGCCACGCAGTACATGCAGCGCCGCGGCCGCTCCAGCGTGTGCGTCTGCACGTGCTTGCGCATGTACGCCTCGCTGTGGAAACACTTGCCGCACACCTCGCACGAATACGCTGAAATACAAACAAATTCATTCATATTTATACATTTACAGCCTTACAAATAAACGCGGTATAAAGTGAAACTTAGGATTAAATGGAGTATAAGTAAAATTTATACTAATATTTGTAATTATGTAACATAATAAATTAATGCTTGTAGATTTTATATAATATAACTCACGTTTATTATCAACATGATCCTTAATGTGTTTTCTGAGGCTGACTTCATCTTTAAACTCCTTTTTAGAATACGGACATCCTTCAAAGTGGCACGACAATTTCTTCAAATCCAAATGTTCTCTTTTGTGAATCAATAATCTGAAATTATATAAAACAGTAAAAAAAACTAGCTCATTTAACTTGTCTTTGGCTGTCTCCTAAGTTTAGTAATCTTTAGTATGTGACATTTGAAGTCACAATATTTAAGTTAATGTATGGAACTTGAACAGCCACTTATCGCTCTAGAACTGCACTTTACTAACTGTTTTATGAAGCAATATTATTTCTATAACAAATAGATAAAAAAAATGTTCTATCATGTACATAATATAAGCTTTCCTATATTTACCCAGCTTTGGTGTTAGCGTTGTACCCGCACTGTCCGCATATGAAGCCGTAGTGTCTCTCCATGTGCTTCTGCAGCTGTATGCGCTGTATGTAGGAGCGCGCGCACACCGCGCACTTGTGCGGCTTGTCCTCCACGTGCGTCAGGATGTGACGCCGCAGCACCTCCAAAGTGAACGTCGCATACCCGCACTGGAATACATACCACATTCTACACTACCTATTCCCCGGCTAAAACTTAATTTAATAATCCACATTTTGTACATTTCAGGTGAAAATGTCATAATTCCTTTGCCATTAGCTAACAATTAACATGGTAATCTTGCTTTTTGACTACATTCTACACATTAAGTTCTTTTTAAACATCTGTGTGTTCTGTGCATGAAGTTAAGAGCCAAAATATCTAGAAACTACTATACATAAAGCCATTTTACATAGCCTATTCTAAAGATGGCACATAAGAGTAACTATATAGGTCTATACTAATATTATAAAGAGGAAAGATTTGGATTCTTGTATTTTTGTATGATATTTAAATCAACCCAGTAGTTTTCATCATTAAAAAGCTGTGTACCCAAATGATTAACATTAGCTACATTTTCATTCTTTGTATTTCACACAGACAACGTCCTGAACAACAGCTAGTAATGTGTAGCAATAAGTCATGAACTTAATAATTTTTAAAACAGCCATAAAAATTCAATAAAAGACGAAACTTGGACTTACCTCACACATACTTCTGCTTTCCATTGAAAGCATGAAAAAGCAATTTTTTAATTCACATATGTTTTTATTGCAACAATATAACAATGCAACATCTTTTGCATTAACCTCATCATTAATTCAAATTATATTTAAATAAATTAAGACTTAGAATGTTTGTTTTGTGTTATGCTAATGAGAAATCATTTATTATTTAAATATACATTACCACGTCGCAGCGAAATTTCTTCAAACCATGTATTTCTAAATGCTTTGCAATCGCTGCTCTTGACCTTGTTGTCTTTCCGCAGTGGTCACATTCGAAATTCAGAGGTTTTTCTGTCAAAACAATAATATCTGAAGTATCGATGACAATCACGATCAGAAACAGAAACACAAGAGGATAGAAACAATAGGTTTAATTAAAAAAACGTATTTAACTGTCAAAAACAAAACTATAGTTGTAATATATCTCCGCAATGTATTGAAGTAAGAAAAGCAAGACCTTTTTCATGTTAAAAAGACAAAAAATAAATTATAATACCTGTGTGAAATCGCATCCAATGAATGATCAATTTAGAGAAGTTTTTAGTATGGTATGGACATTGTTTACATGTAAAATGGTTACTGGCAATGTGCTGCAACCTTAAATGCACCATTAAATTGTCTTTTCTTGTAAATGAGCTGTGACAGATCTGCAAACAGACAATATTTGAATATTAAAACATAGTTATATAAAACATACTATACTCGGCTCTAAAGTGTACACTAACAAGGGCATTAAAGATAAAATTTCGAATTTCAGAATTCATATTACACATTTTTAGTCATCTGACCAGTCTACGTGGTACCACTGCATGTGTTAATTCTTCAATAGCTGTATAAACTGGTAGCTTATCCCGATACTTCCGTATACCATAACTTTAAATGTTAAAGTGAATTTGTAGAGTCAGTGATAGTAAAAAACTTTACAGAATTACCCATGAAAACAAAATTATGGTTCTAAATTCAATATTTAAAAAAATTATGATACATACTTCACATGTATACAGGGAGATTTGTCCTCCGCATCCCTTCTGAGACATGTGTCGCATAACATGAGTTTGTCTTGTGAACAATTTATCACAGTGCGGACACATAAACATATCTCTTCCATGATAGTTATGCATATGCTTTGATAATACTTTCTTGTCAGGACAAGATACAGGACACAAGTCGCATGTTATGCTACCTGGTGTTTTGGAATGATCATTTTCTAAATGCGATTTGTATGTCTCTTCAAATGCAAACCTCTTGTTACACTCAGCACATTTGATTGTAGTCTAAAACATTAAAACTTTTGAATTGGAATATGATGAGGGCATATTAGTAAAACTTATAAGAAAATGTTCTGATAATACATCAAACTATCATTTAAATTGTACAACATATTATCTAGATTGATTACAAAAAACTAATGATAGTACATCATTTAATCTCATAGTTTTTAAAACATAAAATTTTTGTTTACCTTAATAACATCTGCGTTCAGTACTAGTGCGTTTTTGCACATTTTGCCGTGTTCAGATACCTTTGCTTCAGAAGTAAACTTTTGTTTGCAAAGTCCACAGGTGAAATTCTTTTTTGACACCTTACCATTGAGAGACTTTTTGTTTTTGGAACCTTTGGGCCGCCCAACTTTTTTACGCTTAGGAGGCATTCTTAATCCTAGAAACAATTGCAATTTGTAACGAAAATAATACTCCTTGGATGATGAGTTATCAAGTTAACTCACATTAAAATTGATATTACTTTCACCCAGGCGCTACCCCAGTTCATTTACATAAACAATATGGCTGCTATGGCTATTTCTATGTTGATGTCAATTAAGAAAAATGTTTTTGAAATTAACCTCCTTATGACTTCTTGCTACAAGGGCTCAAATCGCGTGATAAATTCATAGATAGTCGGTAATAACACGTTCTGCCACGTAGTACCTAAAGTCTATGGTAGAAGCAAAGACAACAAAAGCACAGACTAAATAATTCTGCCCATCACGAGTTCTCAACATTTGGCAGACTGTAAATTATTATACCTAAAAATTATGTTTATGTTTGGCAGCTTTACTATGGACAAGCCAATAATAATTATTGAATTAAGGCACATAGAAACAAATGTCGAGGACTAATTTTTGCTGCAAATGATTGTTACCAAGTAAGATAAGGCATAGAATCTGTTTTGGTAAAAAACATTCAACAACTTACCGTCTTTAGTTGTGGCGGCGATGTTTTAACCGACAGAAGAACAAACTTCCGTCTTCTGTCGACTTCTTTGTTCCTAAAAGAAGGAGGTTATCAATTCGTCTGTATTTCTTTTAAATTATATTTTACTGCTGGCAGCACTCCTTCGTTGCCATGGTGATAAGTGTATACAACACAAAACACAACATTAGTTATCATTGTTTGAATCAATGTTAATGTTATACAAGAATAATTCAATCCTGAAAAGCTGTTCTTAATTATACGGTTTTATTAAAATTACATTTGTTTTCTTACGTAAATAAAAAGTTTGTAGGTTATTGGCAAATAAATCATAAATTTAAAGAATGTGCGATGGAAGAAGAGTTAAATGCAGAGATAATAAAAACGACGCAGTTATCGTTGGGAAAATTTGTGAAACGACCGCCACTTACCGAGAAGTTATTAAGAAAACCGCCGTTTAGATTTTTACACGATGTCATCATAACGGTATGTGTTCCTTACATTCTGCATAATAAAACCGTATCACCCTTACCCCTCTCGTATACAACAACGACTAAAAGATTAATACCATGGAACACCACATTACTTATTAGATAATAGATTTTGTTTAATGTACAGATAATACACTTCTTATAGGTTCTGAAAACTACTGGGTTCTTTGAAGGTCTCTTTGAACAAGATGAATTAATATCTGACAATGTGAAAGACAGAGAAAGAAAAATACAATTCTTAAATAAGGTCATAACAGTACTAGGTAAGTTAATGTGTATTCCTAATCAAGATTCCAAGCTATAAAATCCAATTTGTATGTAATTATAACCTTTTTTTATAATAGGTTTTGCAACAGGAAAAACTTTAACAGTTAAGCCTTCTAAAATAGTTGCTGGCCAAGAACCAGCAAAAACAAATGAGTTACTGCAATGTCTGGGAGAAGCTTTAGAAAAACAACTTACTTCAGTAGAAGCTGTTCAAAAATATAAAGAAAATTTAAAAACTCAGGACACAAATGAGAAAAGTAATAAAACCTCTACTAAAGTTGTAAAAAAAAATCAAGATGTTAAAAAAGCTCCATCAATAAAAAGTAATAAAAGTGATAGCCCTGACAAAGATCAAAAAGCTGTTTCCAAATCTCGATTAAAAGAATCTGCAGTTAAAGAATCACCACCAAAAAAACAAGCTACAGCAAATATCAAGAAAAGTACAGTTAAAAATGTACAAGATCTTAAAACAAACAACAAAAAAATCAAACAAGAAAAATCCCCCGATTTAAAGCAAGTCGATGAACCAGCTAAAATTATTAAAAATGGTGGTAGTGATGTTTCAGAAGTTAATGAAAAAAAAGATTCTATAGATACTAACACAAATGATGATAAAGGACCACAAACACAACACTTTGATACAGAAAAAGAAAAAATAAGTATTGACATTACAAATGAGATAACTGAAAAATCTGAAACAGAACTAAAATCTGTAAAAACTGATAGTCATCAAGATGACAAAGATGGTTTGGAAAACTCTATACAACTTGGAAAGACAATTACGGACGAATCCACCATTAAAGTTATTGACAATACTAAAGATTTAGCAATTAGTAACTCAAGTGATACAAGCAAGAATTCTTTTGAATCAAATTTAGTTAACAATGCAGAAAAAAGGCCTCAAAGTGTAAGGCCTTCGTCATCTAGACCAGGAGCACCAAGAGTGAAAGAAAAACATGATGCTACATTGATAGGAACGGAAAATCCTATTGCTCACAAACCAAATATCATAATCGAAAATACAGTGCCAGAAGAGGTTTATAGTTATTACATTTTTTATTTTATTTTTCTTTAATACAACAAATCAAAATGTTTTGTTTTTAATTTAGGAAGAAGATGGAAGTATAATTATTGTGGAAAATCAAACTTCGTCAACATTACATAATGAAGAAGAATTACAATTAACTTCGAAACAACATGGTCATTTAGTACAACAAATATTGGATTCTCAAAAGGAGTTTTCCCAAATATCAGGAAAGACAGAAATTGTGAGTCTGAAATTAAATGTATTATGTAGTTAGCTTGTGAATTCGTTTAAATCATAAAATTATCTATAGTCAAACAAAGTCAGGTTACTTAACTATGTATTTTTGTAGATAAACATGTGATGATGTATTTTTAATTAATGTTATATGTCATAAAAGTATAGTAATGTTTTTTGGGACAAAAAATGGTACATTAATAACATTGTCAATTTTCTATTTATGTTTGTATAGGAATGGCATTTTGGTGCACAAAAAGCAAGAGATGTAGTAAATCAAGAAATTGAACAGATGAGGTTCAATGTGCAAGCTCTCTCTCGTATAAGTAACCCATTGGGAAAGTTAATTGACCACATACAAGAGGATGTTGAAGTAATGAGACAGGAGCTTCAGGAGTGGACAAAGAAATATGAAGAGGCATCAATAGAATTATCTAAACAAAAAATGTTAGTCATATTGGAAACATTGAATAATTGGAAAAATTGCATTACATTTCATTCCTTCCCAACCTCGATCTGATCTTCAAAATTATGAGTTTTAAACTAAGAGTTCACTTTTTTACTACCCTCACAGAGTAACTCACAATTTTAATTACATTTCAGCATAAATGTGGAATCTCTCCAACCTCTTCAAGCAAAAATAAAACAACTGGATGCTGACATAGAAGAGAAGGGAGACAAAATTAATGATCTCAGAATAGTAGTATTTAAGAATTATTATAGAATTGAAACCCTCCTTTCAGCAAATGGAAATGTGCAATAAATTAATAATTAAATGTTATTTCATTATTATTTTATTGAAATACAAGCAATCTTTAAAAAGTTTTTATGCCATATTATTTTTACGGACAAAGTTTTTGGGTACATATGATTCTAAATAAATATAATTGATTATTTTACTATATGAACGCCAAGGAGCTTATGAGAAATATAAATTAGTAACTACTTCTTAATAGTTAAAAGTATTGACAATCCCCATATAAGTCTTGTAAGATATAGGATAACTATAGATTGAGCCAAAGATCACTTTAAACATTGTTCTTGTTGTCTTATTTGTAAGACATAATTTATAGCCTTCTCAAAGCAAACAATAGACACAGAAATAAAATGTGCCATCACAATTTATGGACAAATAAATACTAAATGATTATTTTATAACAATTTTATGAAATTATGGCTGCTACCAAAGCACTGAAGCACATCATTTTTAACATTGGATACATAGATATTTGGCTTAGGTACACATTTTTACTTAAAGAACATTGAATTTCCACCAGCTAAAGTTTTGAATATATTTAAACACTTACATAGTTTGCAAGACTTGTATATTAAGCTAATTTTAAAATAATGTAAACAATATGAATACTTAAATTAACATACAGTATGTTCATTCCTGTGACTGGAATGTAAACCTCTAAAATTATAAACATTGTGTGCCTTCATTTTGGCTTACAGAAATTGCACTTGAGACTTCACAACAAATACATTTATACAAAAACCATTTTGGTAAAAAAAACCAAGGTAACTTGACATTAAATTTATAAGCAGCAAGTTATCAGCATCTCATTGTCCCTTTAGAAAATTAGCAGCTTGTTCGATGCGCATCACCAATCTATGTTGATTTTCAAGTCGTTCCAAGCAGTTGTTGCAAATGGTTTTTGGTAATGGATCCGAAGGTGATACCTATAATATGTCGATTATTAGATTTGTACTATTATATAAACCATAAAATCCGATTAAATAGAAAAGTAATGCTTACATTTATTGAAAGATACTTATTAATTTTTTCAGATATATTTAAACGAATGCCTTCGTGGCCGTAGATATGTATAACGACTCGGTGCATTTCTGAACATAATCGACAAATAAACCCAGTTATAACAGCTCTATCCAAACTACCCATCTTGAGAAAATTATACAACACTTATTTTTACTAAACAATATATTTCTTCGCAGCTTCTTAGGAGGAACTTAAAATGCATCAAAACAGTATGATTTTAGAATTTTGGTTTTGTTTTTAATAACAATGGAAAACATCACAATTGACATTCACAACAAATTCTGACAATTTTTCTCACAGATAACAAATAATCAATACATCATTCTACAGATTATACTCTTGCCTACAAAGAGGCGACGTGTAATATTTTTTCGTTTATGTTATCGATATTTTGATGTTACGCTAAAATCTATATAAAAAGCGAAAGTTTGTTTTCAACCGTACTAAAATAGCTAAATAAACTGTTTCGCTAGATTTGTTTAAAAAATATACGGGTCTCTTAGGACAAACAGTAAATCCATTAATAACGAAATATATATGTAGTATTTTTAGTCCACACGATTAACAGTCGTAATTTCTTTACATCTTAATTTGAAAATAGATGCAGAATAACAGTGTCATATAGAAGAGCATTAGTGTACATTTCCTTTTAGTTATAAATAGCCTCAAATGGCCACGCAAGGCGTCCCGTGTTATTGATACAACACGTTAACGTGGACACAGGTCTTCTAAGTCCAATATATACTTAGACAAAAAAATTAAATTATTTATTTTCATACAACAGGACATTAATTATGAAAAGATAAATGTTGTTAATTTAAAAACTGTTTAATTCATCCAGTAATGACTTGCACTTATCTCTAAGAATTTTAACAGCTTCAACAAATATCACATTTGGAGCCATGGCACCAACAGACTCCACATTAACTGAAAAATAAATAAAACATAAACAAAACCATAGCATGGAATAAACTTTGAGTAAACTTATGTCACTATTCAACATACATATGAAATGATTACGAATTCTGCTCAGTATAGCAGCATCTTTAATGTCATCATGTCTGTATATATTTCGGCTGCAAGTGTCATAACGGGCATCCTTGACATATGCTCTGCCCTCTGAATCAATCCCAATCACACCAGGTGAGAAGCAACTCTGCAGGAGTGCTGCTTGGCCACCTAACACTTCACGTGTCAATGTTATTTCAGGCAATAAACGGTAAGAAGCTGTAGCTGTGAACAATCATTAGAGTTATTGGTTATGGGATTTTATTGGATACTGTTTTATAGCATAACATGACAAACAAGCAATTGGCCACCTGTACTAAAATAGTACAGTAACCAATGGTCATAATCATACGGTATGCATAGCTTAGTGTAAATTTTCCATATTACATCTATACTAAGAAATACCCTTAGAGCCCAAAAATATTTTTTGTGTATATTTTTGTAGATAAAAAATACAAACCAACTGGAGAAAATTTGGCATGATCCTTTCCAATTCCCTTGACTGCAATTAATTGTAAATCTAATTCATGACCTGGTCTCATTTTAGATATGAGAATGTCGCCATGCACTGGCCCAACATCTGCCTCCTTGTGAACAGATGCTTGATTCCCAATTGGCTGCCATTTTATTTGTGATGAATAAACTGGAACAAGGTTAAGCAATAGTTTTAAAATATTTAGATAATCTTTAACACAAACCAATTTATATATTTATCTGCACATTATATAGGCATTTGTCTATAGAATAATGCACAGATGCCAGATAAGGTTGCCTATTTTACATAATATTAATGCCAAAAGGAAGTTCCAAGTCTAAGTCAGAGTATTTAGTAGTAAAAAAATATCTAATAAAAGTACTTACTGCTATGATTCTCATACAAATCTTCTGTTCTGTATGAATCCTTGGGCTGTGACTTAACTGCAGTACATTTCACTTTAAGAGAAAAGTCTAAAGTGTCATATTCTGTGCTTTCAGTAGCATCTGAAATGTTGTAAAAAAAATTATTAAAGTTAGTGAAAATTCCCAGCTACATAATTGAATTTATATGTGACAATTTAAGTAGATTTACTAAATATTCATAAATTAGTTTTTTTTACCTTCTGGACGATATTCGAATAGTCTAGGATCAGCTTTTAAAGGTATTAGTCCCAGCCTGTGGGCTAGGACCTCATCTTGTATTATTGATGTATTATTTCTAACCATAACTTTTTCAATGGCCATACTGGGAACTTCACTCAACATAAGTCTTCGAAAAGCATTTGCAAACGCTGGCTGAAGACCAATCAAATCGAATTCCATCTCAAAGTTATCTAGTCTGACAATAACAATACGGAAGTTCTTGACAAACTTCTTAAAATTCCATTTTTCATCAGCCATCCCATAATCGTTTGCAGCATTCTGAAACATTAGACAGTTCAGTTACCAATCGGCTACTTTATAACAAAATATAATCATAATCAACGTTGTAGATCTTTAAAGGTATTTATTTAAAAAAAATTGTAACCTTTAATCGATACTCTTCTAAGAAGACTTTCGGTTTTTCTTCAAGCTGCGGCATCATTAACTAATAATTGATTATAATTAGTTTAATATGACAACAAAAATGGTTTTAATTCAAATCAATTTTAAATGTATGTTTATTTCTTTCGATAATGATTCAATAAAATGTCAAAGCAAAAGAAAACACATGCTTCTGACTTTGACATAGACAATTTTGACGTTTGTCAAATCAAGTTTTTTTTCCTACAAGGACAAGACCTTTTTATCACCACTTTTTAGTATGTTTTACATAATAAATTGTTACTCAGCATTAAATCTTTCTCCTCTTAATATTAATTTCAAATACCATTTAGAATTTAAAGTGTTAAAATTGATCATATGCGATGAAATCAAATCATACAACTGTTACTATCATATTTTAGATTTTAAACTTACATAAATAGGATGATATAAAACTCAAGCAAAAAAACTGTGAATCAGGATTAGGATGTACCCTTTGACCCAAAACTTCTACCGAAGTTATGATTATGCTTTTCAATACCAAAAGTTATAGTTGCTATTTAAATCTGATAGGAGTTGTGAGAGAAATTAATGTAATCTATTAAATCCATCTGATAGAACTTCAGTGGAGTGTCTAGAACTAATAGTGGAACAATAAACAACTCGTTTTTTACTATTTACTCGCATAGAATAGCATGGAAATATAATTATCTTATAAGCCTTTGCTGATACATTGTTGCTATAAAAAGACCCGATAATATACAACAGCTGCAAAAGTTATCATTTCACGTAAATACTAATTTACGTGTTGTGATATTTTTTTCCTGATTAACTGATCTCCCAAAAAATGAAATCGCCCTTTTGAATTTTCAATATTTGAAATGGAATTTTAAATTGTTATTTAACTCTTTCAAAGCCATTCTTTAAGTAGTTACTTAAATTAAAAATAGTTTGAAATAGATCGATACCAAAATGCTGTTATATCACAAACTGTCTACACTATTATAACGAGGCATTGTAAGCACGTATTACGTTCGCCGACCGCAATCAAGTCGGTAAGAGGACAACTTAACTTAAACACACTGAAGCAGTAAAGTGCAGCGAAAGTGGTCGGTGTCCGCCAAATGATAATCTGTATCAAGAGTCGCAAGTACTTATGCAACCGACTGCTCCCGAGCGGCATTCGTTTGCGGCTCCAGTGGCGGACCACACCTTACTCCGAGAGCCTGCAGTCATCAGTAATTGCGAACAACGTTCAAACCAACGAACTGGAAGTGTAATTGTCGTGAACTAATGTGATATTTCTAAAGTGATATAAGAACAAAATGAATCACCGAAATGTTTTAACGTTGTTTATTTTAGCGGCAACACTGACTTTGGGTGAGTTTTTTAAACCGTTTTTACGGATTTTACTAAACGTCGTTAGGATTTATAAAAAATCTTCTTGAATACGATCACATTAATGAAAACTAATCTACAGGTGAACATTTTAATAAGTCTTTCTCTGGTAAAACAAGAAATTCATTATTTTTTAAATAAACAATTAAGATTAAATAATAATAAATGAAGCCTGACCTATTAATAAAGCAAAAATTAATGATAGGCTAAACATTTAAACGGTTTACATAAAAATTGAAATAGTTTTTACTGTTGTGAAAGCTAACTAGGAATGAGTAGTGCCTACAAGTACTTACATATGTATTGTTGGGATTCGAACCCACGAGCTTTGCATTAACTTCTAGACGTTTCAATCTTACGTTACTACGGTTACGACAAGGTAAACCGACGTTAAAAATATAAAAAATGTTTGCAATTTAAACAATTATTAATGTCCCATTTGAAGAAAAGTTTAGCAATCGGTTTTCTTACAGTTAATAGCAGTGTTCCTTTACGCGCTAATTACGAGTATAAGACTGTGTAATAGTTAAATGAGTTGAAATGGAATCACATAAATATATTTTAAACCACTATTTATGCTAATAATATTCAATTTACCTAGTTAATATTCACCACTATGGATTTGTATAACATCTTACAAAATTAAAAAATAACAAACATCAGTAATTTTTAAATTGGATAATAATTCCAATATGAAAAATTGATGACATTTTTAGATACGCTTATTATTCGCTGTTGATATTATGAGAATAATTTTAATCTTCCGAAGACTTTTTTTAAGTAGTTAATATCCGGGTTTTTGTTGTACAATGTTGTATTTATCTTTCATCTATTTAGATTAATACTGTTTAGTAGAGACTGGTTGTGCTACTTTAGGTTCTTTGAACGACTAATGTAATAAGGTCAAATTCCCAAGCACAATTCATTCGTAATACAAAATAAACTCTACCAAGATTTGCTTTGTCCTTTCTGTAACAAAAGCGAATTTGTTGGTCGTCTTATGATTTATTCTTCTTAAAATGCTATCTTTTTTCGATGTTCGGAGATCGTTAGGGCAACTTGCATTCATAAGACCGCAGCTATAAAAAGCAAACCGGTGTTCTTTCCGAACGACTGGCGTAGGTTTTTGAGCCAGGGTGTACTTCTTCGAAATACACTTATTAATCTCATTTATCTATACTGTATTATAAATGCGAAAGATGGATCCATGGATGGACCAATCGAATCAGGATAATTAGTACAAGAATGCTGTCTGTCTGAAACCGTTTATTACTTTGTTATTTTTAATTCGCATGAACGAAGTCGCGGGCAAAAGCTTTGTTAATGCAATATTGTGACGACGTGCGGGACAAAATCTGAAGTAAAGGGTAAAAATACATACCTACACTTAATATCTTATTATTCACTTTATAGAAATTGTAACATTGATTTCTCTCAGACAATAATTACGTAAGGTTAATGTAAAAACGTTTCCAAACGGATTGGTGTAACAGACGTACGCGTTATAATGATTGACGTTTCTTTTCGCTAATACTGTTACTTATTATAGTCCTATTTTATTCTTTACGCCCTGGCATTGTTGTTTATTTCATAATAGTTCAAACACCTCGGTTTATATCTGGTACCCAATAATTTTAACTTACATTATTATCTATCCGCAAAATATACATCAAATTGAAATAATGTAAAGCTCTTATTAAATAATCTAAAATTATGCTAAAATTACTTCACATGCATTAGTTACAAAATGTAGAATGTTTTCGTCTTACCGAATTTGGGTCCCAAATGATGAGATGCAGTCAATGAACTATAAATTATTAAGACAACTATTTTATGCAGATAAATCTCCTTATGGTCATTCGATGCAATTAAACCAATTGCAAGAAATACTTTTAAAAGAAACATTAATGAACCGGATTTACACGTAACCGACATAATTTGCACAAGCTTGCTGTCTCAGATACATGTGCACAACAAAATAATGCTTGCATAATATGACATTTTGGGAAAACCATGATTATGTAAGGCACCTTAACAAGTATTACTTAATATTAGGATTATTATAAAACAGAAGTGTTTGTTATTGTTCTAATCGATAAAGTCTTAAGCTGCTTATAAAGTATGTAGATAATAAACTTTAAGATAAAGCTTCTAGGTTCGTTTCACTCGCTCTACGGTTAAGTAATAATTGAAATTTACATACAAAAGACTTCAACGAGTGGTTGAAAATATTTTGTCACATAAAGTATCATCCCAATAGTATTTAAATTAATGTTAATCGACAATATTTTAGAAATATTGTCACGTTTTAACTGACCTTGGGTTGACCCCTAGCCAGCAGGATATCTTCTGCAGCCTTTGCAAAAGACCGTAGTAGCAAGAAAGTAACAAAAAGGAATGCGTGAATCGCTTATTTTTGAAGACCAAAGTCTAATTATTCATCATCATCATCATCAACCTTTGTTTGCCCACGGCTGAACATAGACCTCCCCTAATTTTTTTTTTTTTGAAACATTACCCACCTTTATGTAGATAATCTTATCAATCTTGCTAATATTATAAATGCGAAAGTTTAGATGGATGGATGGATGTTTGTTAGAGTTTGTAGCCTAAACGACTGAACGGATCTCGATGAAATTTGGCATGGATGTAGAGCATAGTCTGGAAGAACACATAGGCTATTTGATTTAGTTTTTTTTAATTCCTCGCGGACGGACTCGCGGGCGAAAGCTCGTATTACATATGTGAAAGTTTAGATGGATGGATGGATGGATAGATGGATGGATGTTTGTTAGAGTTTGTAGCCAAAACGACTGACCGGAATTCGATAAAATTTGGAATAAATGTAGAGTATAGTCTAGAAGAACACATAGGCTACTAAGTTTTGTTTTTTTTAATCTCACGCGAGCGTAGTCGCGGGCCAAAGCTAGTAAATTCATAATAGTTTTAATGTTTTAATATACTTAAACGCGTGACAGCCTAACACGAGTATGTCTAGTTGCGGTTGAATTTAGATATGTAATTTATGTGTTCTATAAAAATTAAAGCTGAATTTATAATCGAAGCGAATAAGCATGTACACAAGTTTATAATCGTGTTCAAATTGAGGAAATAGCTAAGAAAGAAAGTCGGTAGTAGTATGGGACTGCTTGTATTAAGGCATATAACCGGTCTATCCGGTTAGATTGTTGGTAATAATATATAATATGACTGTACTTTATGTTCACTATTAAATGTAAACATTATTGCAAAATATATTTATTTATTTTCGCGTAAGAAAAAGACAACGCTGGCATTCAAGTTTTACAATAAATTTTTTCTTTGTGTATCTTTCTTAACTCATCTTTTCAACATACCGAAACCAGCGAAGCATAACCTCATCATCTGAATAGAATTACTAAAAGCAACATCTACAATGTCTCTACCGCGCTCAGCGACTTTTAAACCATTAAATGCCGATTGCATTAAATGAGGTATCCCTGTATTTTAGTAATGAATGTATACTTGTGGCCATACATTTTGAGTAATTGAATATTTGTACTTAAGTATTACATACAATTTTTGACAATTTCTATGAAAAAACGATTATTTAAAAATAAATACTACATTACTTATATGATTGCTTATTTTCGATTTCTTCTGTTAAGTTGACACTATCTACCAAACATAAAGGGATCCCTCCTTCGTAGCCATTGAAGGGCTCTATCATAGTTAGACTTTACAATTAATATAGATAATTATGTAAACCAGTTTGCTATTTCATTAATATTATTTTTACCTTTTGTTCTACAAATGCAACCTTGCATGCAGGTCAGTCGGGGAAATCTAAAACCACCTTAGCAACTTAAATAAAAAGATTCGTCTCAATAACGTATATTTGAACTTAATTTGCTGTCGCCGGATCGAGCTCAAGGTTCCTTACATTAAGTGCGTTATAATTCAATCAAATTATAGTTACAACTGGTTCAAAGTAAGTGCCATATTAATTTTACTTATGCCAGTTATGTCAATTAATCCAGTCTATGACTCACTTTTGTTGATAGTTCACTTCTGAGTTCTGAACAAAGGCAGATCGAATTATTCTTTAGTTGCTTGTGAACGTAGCAATTTCGGTCAATCTTACTAATATTATACTTACTAATATTATAAATGCAAAAGTTTAGATGGAAGGATGGATGGATGGATGGAAGTTTGTTAGTCTTTGTAGCCTAAACGGCCTAACTGATCTCCATGAAATTTGGCACAGGTTTAGAACATAGTCTGGAAGAACACATAGGCTACTTTTTATCCCGGAAATAGTTACCGTTCCCGTGGGATTCATCAATTTATTTTTTTAATGTTTACTCGATCATTCTGCAACGATTCAACATATCTTATTGAAATTTGGCACAGATATAAAACAAAGTCTGGAGTACACATGGGATAAGCTTCATCCCCGAGAAATGTCCGGTTCCCGAGGGATACGTAGCTTTTTGTAATTTATATAGTTCGTATGTTTTCTAATACCACGCAGACGAAGTGGCAGGCAACAGCTCGTAAGTAATAAATAAATAAACGGTATTCTCCATTAGGTAGTGATAAAAAAAGATCATTCAGGTCGTATTCACACAAAGATCTAAATTGTGAAGATATTTTATCATCACCATCAGCTCACTATACATCCCCAGGGGCTCGGAGCCTACCCTAAGTTAGTGGCGACTTGGTCAAAGTCAACAACGCTGGACAAGTGCGGGTTGGTTGACTTCAGACATATCTTTGAATTTCTTAGCCGATATATGCAGGTTGCATCATGATGTTTTCCTTCACCTTTAGAACGTCGGGTAAATTATGTACATATGAAAATTCAAAAAATATCACATTGGTACATGGCGGGATTCGAACCCAAGACCTGTAGATTACACAACACACACAGATTGCTTAAACCATTGAGCCTCCGACGCTCTGAAGATCTTTATCATCCCTATTAAATGCCGCATCGAACGCTATATCTTTAAAGTTTATGTATATCAATTCAATTCTCTAACATATCCGAAATAAATATAGTTAATATATTATGTAATATTTAAATTAAAAGTTTCCTATAAAATATTTGCATAGACTGTTATTCAATAACAGAACTGCTAATTTATAACAATAAATATTTCACGGTCGTAAGTTTTTAATTTCCAGGTGAATGGGGGTCAATAAGTCGGGCTGTGTATTACTTTTACTTTTTTAAAGCTCCTTAAACCTGATTCTCTTTGTTATTATGAAATGATTTTTTCCATACTTACATAATACATTTGTTTATGTAAGTATGGAAAAAATCATGTGGATATTTTGTTGCATATTCAATAAAAAAATAACTTTTCGGCTATAAGATGAAACTAATAATTTTATTGTATGTACGATATATGTTCAGAAATATAAAAATATTGAAAAACATTTATTCTTCGATCATTTACAATCTAATGAGATTAATCTAGACAAAGAGTTAAGTTGTTACGAATATTTTTCAATACAAAAAAGGAGAAATATCAGTTATAACTATTTTTATTAACAAACACACGGGTAGTCTTCTGTTGAATTATCATTAAATATTTTCTACGTAGTAGTCCAGAAAAAAAGAAACTAAAATTCGACTTCTCGGCGACTACCAATAGTAAAACTTTTGTGTTACAACTGATTACAACTTTTTTTTTTAAATCTAAAAATGTGGTTAAATGTCTGTTCTTTTGTGACTTATTGCAGTGAATTTTTAGATCGAATCAACGAGCGATTATATTAAAACTTAGCTGTTGCTCGCAACTTCATCCGCGTGAAATTAAACAATAAAATAAAAAAAACAACCTGTTTCACTCACTGATAACGTATTTTTTAATTGTGAAAACTTTTAGAAATCGGCCGAGTAGTTTTTGAGTTATACCAATACATACAAAACTACAAATTAAAATACGAACGTAGTTATTAATAAAAACATAAAAATTTGGGCAATTCCACTAGTGCTATATTAAGATTAATTTCTATGCCTTACTAACCCTTTGAAACATTGTCGTATTCAGTACACAATTATAAACAAATCTAGTTACGAAATGTACTCGAGCTGCTTACCCACTTAACGGTGCATTTGTGACGACCTTCGCTCAGCCACCGCCGGCAGTCGATCGCTCTCTAGTAATAAAGTAACAATCCCAGTGCGACACCAACAAATATCATTTATGTTAAAAAATAAGAAGAAAAATCCGCTACTTTCTTTGTTCTTAAAAAAACACAAAAACCGAACCAATATTCAGGAATCTTTTATAACTAAGGTTTTGACTGACCTAGTTTATATGTTCATCTATCTACGGTTTAAAAAATATATATGACAACAATAATCATATACTATTGATGTACAAAAATATCGATTTAATTCAAAGAGCTTACTTGCTTTATTCAATTATTTTGTTTTACGTTATAATTATATAAAACTTGATATAACGTTCCGATCTAACATATCACAAATATTAGCAACACAAAACACTTTGTAAACACACCAAAATGTTACTAAATATTATGAAGCAGAGATTATGCACATTGGGAAACTTTCTGTGAAGCAACATGTAAATATACATATAAATTAAATATATCATGTCTGTTTTGTAGGTAATTGCGTGAATGTTAAATTATAATTTCTTTGAAGATTGTTTTATCCCTGACATCAAATCTTGCTTCCTGCTGTTATTTAGTAATACACATTTTGTAATAAAATAAAATTAAACATGTTAAAACAACTATCTATCGTATTTTATAAAAGTTACTGGAATATATCTGACAGATTCAGGGGAATAAGAAATAATCGGAGTAGCGGTAATCCTGTAAAAGCGGCACTTTAACATGTCACGGGCAATGTAAAGTGTATTCTAAATATGAACAGTACAATTCTTTAATACTTCGATTTGAGTCTCAAAAAAGGACCAGCTTGGGCCATTATATAAAAGTAGATTTCGTTGAATAAATGAATAAACTTTATTGAGATGTTTATTCGGTGACATGGTAGTAGCGACTAGTGAATCTGGCCGGTGGTCGCGGCCTGGAGTCCGGCAAGGAGGGCGTCGCGTCACGATACTTCTTGTGGCAGGGGCAGGGCGGCGCAGAGGGCGCCGTGCTCGGGCTGCAATGCACTCTGGCGCGCGTAAAGTAACCAAAGTCCGGCCTCTCCATCTTCAATTTAGTTAACATGCATTCGTCGAAGACGGCTTGAGTTGTTCGACAATATCTTAGCGCGAAACGCCCGGAGCTCTTATCTACACAGTTGCTGTACTGGTTGAACTCTTCCAAGCAGTTTTTCTTCACTTTCTTGAAGAAGTTGAGAGTACACGCGGTGACTTTCCTGCCGAGGTCGAGACATGCGCGGGGGTCATTGCGTTCATAGCGGCACAACATGAACTCGTTATTTACGGACTCGCATTCTTTGCCCAGGTGTGGCCCTGCGCTCATCAGTGTCGCAGTCGACAGGTCAACTTCGGGCACCATCAGCTCGTTGCATTCCGGTAGCTTCACATTTTTAGTCACCACCATGATTAACTAATTTAACTAAATTAAACGTCGTCTAAAAACAATAATATTAACGATTACAGTTAGGAAAAACTTTGAAGAAATAAAATTTTGTATTGTCACTTATCGTCAACGTCAATATAATTATTTTAGTTATGTCAAAACAGAAATAAAATAAAAGTGAACAGTATCAGATTCTCATTTAAATAGTCGTAATACACTAGTTAGTATTTAAATAAAGTTAAATAATTAAATTACACTCATGGCTCTAAAATTATTACACAGGAACTATAAATAATCCGCGTAGCAACGTCATAATCTGTTATAGCCAAACCCATAGTATACCGCCGTTATGAAGATGGCTTTTGGAGAATGTTACCAAAAAGAACTTTCGAAATTCGTCCAGAACATGCCTTTCACAAAGTCTATATTATATCGCCACTAATGTTTCCCTGTTCTAATTTCCTTTGATGTAGTCTTTAAATCATTTTGCTTGTATTTTTTAGGTGAGAGTCAGTCGTTATCCTGTCCGTCTGTGCGGACGAGCAGCGGCTGGCTGGACCTATTCCCGCTGCCGTGCCGCAAGCACGGCGAGTGCGGCGTGATGGGCGCCCAGCACCTCTGCTGCAAGGGTTTCTGTACAAAAGGTGTGAACAGGGCAGCCGCTGTTCGGTAAGTCCGTCCAATGAGATCGCATTAGTAGATAGGAATTAGATGCTTCTAGAATTCATATTTTAAGTCTAGAATCTCATATTTTATTATGTAGGCTTTTCCCGCGAGTCTTAAAGATTTCTTTATATACCAAAGATTGCTTTTTGTATGCTATTTGTAAAGAAAAAGTTCTTTCTTTCCTTTTTTCTCCTTTGCAATGCCTTTCTCTCCTTCTCAGTGGTTTATCTCGCCTTGTTCATTTTACATAAATAAATAAAATACGCAGGTAAATAAATTAGTGATTAAAAAACATTTTGTTTCGAAATAAAGTAACTTTATTACGTAATCATACCCATAGCAAGAAAGTAAATAAGGAACACTTCATGTTGTTACACAAGAAAGTAACAGTTTTAACGTTAATAAACTAAATATAATGCGTTACCTTAATGCGTTACATCGAAATATTGTCTAGCTACTCTTTAATTTTATAACACAAGAATATAAAAGATTACATTTAATAGTTTTGTAAACTCATTCGTTTGTGAATTCAAGCAATCGTAAATTTCATCTAAAAAAATTAAGTTAGGAACATTTTTTGATTATAAGTACGTACGCAACTACACTAGTATATGTACTAAAAGTGAGAGGCCAAGCAGCCGCGCGGTCAAACCAAATCCATCATTTGAGGCCTCATCGTCTTGCAATCAAGTTTCGTAATAGATTTATCTTCCAGTCTATGAACTCTGTTTTTTACACCTAGGCCTTAATGACACCATCAGTAATACCGTCTACCGTCAACCTATATATTGGAAATAATCCAATCAATCGGGTCCATTGATTTTTGAAACTTTGCTTTTCTTTGTTTTTTTATACTTCGGAGCCATTTTGAAGATCTATAATTTTGTCGTAATTAAGAACATCCGCCATAATAGATCTTAAGTACATACAATTTTTTATTGCTTTGAATGCTTAATGCTTATGAACATTATTCGAGCGTATTACGTGATGATTTGATTACCACAAGCGAAACTAATTGTACTCAGATGAAATATTTTGTAAAGGTTTAATTAAATAATGTTCTTAGTACCAGTCGCTTGCAGCTCAATTAGTTTATATTAGCACAAACTCATTAAGTTATCACAATTGAACACTACCATTACACAAACGTTGCACTATTCTATTGCCATTCGAAGTAATTTCCGAATGTTGTAGAACTAGTGGCGAGCCGAGCAGTAGTGTAGTCGAGTTGAGTAGCAGCACAAGTAGTTCCAGCACCACCACTAGCACAACGACCACCACTACCACCACCACAACGACCACAACTACAACCCCGAGTACCACCACCACCAGCTCTACCACCACGACGACCACGCCTGCGCCGACTACCACAACAACTACCACGGAACCGCCTAGACCGTTCTTCCAGCTGCTGCCTATACAGAACCCGCCCACTCCAGCTACCGCTGCGCCTGCTAAAGTCGGTAAGTTTCTCATACTTTATTTATACGAAAGGGACGCAACCCAGCAATAAGAACACCGAGGTGATCAACGACGTTCATAGACGAAGACAAAGAATGAAGTTTCAAATCTGTTGGGACTTTGTCTAATGAATGAAACAACACTGTAATTCCGATAAGCGATGAAGGCCAAAATTTAATCTGTTAATTCACTACACATCACATTAAATTACATTTAAATTTTGAATTAACCATCTTTTTGTTTCGCAACATTTGTTTTTGTAGATACTGTATACGACAATTTATCTGATGGATAAACCTATGCAACAGTACTTACAATCCAATGAATTAAAATCCAATGATGACATTCTAGTTGACTTTTTGCTTCAAAATGCAGGGAAAACACAGAAGTACGTTTGTCCAAAAAAGGCGGCGCCCGTGGTTTTATTCCCGATCCCTTGCGAGACCAATTCCCAGTGCAGAGCGAGCAGCGGCGCCGACCAGGTGTGCTGTCAGGGACGTTGCGTCAAGGGAGACCCGGCTCCACGGCCCACTGTGCAGCAAAGCCATCAACGTATGTGTAGTATTACCGCATGTTAATCGACATCACAACTCTTGAACTATAGCTATATGATATAGATATAGTAATTGAATTAAAACGAAAATTGTGGAAAGGGGTCTAAAACTGGTCGGTGCCGTCACCGAAAAAAGTAGACGTGAGTAAGAGCCGTAAAATAATTAACTAACTTTTATTATTATCATTATTTAAAAAAGAAAATGTTTATAGACCCATGAAGAAAAGAAAAATACACTCTTATCATATTAAAAAATAGAGATAAGTGAAAATGTGTAATTGTGAGACAATTGTTTAAATACAACCAATAACATTATTTCAGTAGAGAAGATTAGATCTGCTTGCTCAAGCACTTGCAGAAGACATAATATAGATTTTTGAACCCTTGAGCTTGATTTGTAGTTGAATATCGTGAAACAACAGGAACCTCGTCTACACTTTAATTAAAAAAAAAACATAAATTCCAGCTCTACTTGGCGTGATTCCTCGCGAGTGTCCTGCGGCGCCACTGGGCGAGCTGTTATTCGAGGTGCAGTCGTGTAAATCTGACGCGGATTGTTGGCCCCGAGTCTGCTGCCCCGACGGCACCCGCTCCTACTGCCGCACGGCGCGCGCCAGGCTCGACCTCGTGCCCGTCGCTAACGCCATTGACGCACGTAAGTTGTAAACTATGTGAACACGCAAACACGAACGTATTGTTGTGATCAGCTGTGATATCCAAAGAGTGAGAATGTAACTACTTCGATAGCATCATGGTGACGTAAAGTTTACCTACCTAACCTACCCTTAGGCTACGCATACACCGGAGGGATTAATATTGTAACGAAGGGGATGTTGAGGTATAATGGTACTTACCTGTTAGATGCCCACCTCGCCTCCTGTAGATGCCTGGTTTCTATCGGTCTCAATCGAGTCATGTCTATAGGCGCCAGCGATGCTGCCTGCAGATGCACCCGGTGCACTGTTATTGTTCCAAACTCGTAACCGAATACCAAGCGACCCCGTTCCCTGACCAAAATGACACACCCATTGTCATTCGCGTTGGTGGAAAAGCAACCTTTGGACTCGCACTTTTCTAAACGACCGACACGATTAGCTGCTTGCACACGACTATCTCTGGCACATCTCTCCGTAGGCGCCGCACCCTTCAGAATTGGAGAGAGATTCAAATCTACCCACTAGTGCGGGGTACAAAAATGCGCAAAAATTAAAACTACATGTCTACCACCGAACGTGGCGAACCATAACTAATCGCGACCGTTGGCGCCAAAATGGCGGTGATCAAATAGGCAAATTTCACAGTTTGAAGTCTGTCCTTTTATAAAGGTTAATGATGCCCTACTAAGGACAAAGTACAGTTAACGCCACAGCAAAGTAAAGTTCAAGTAAGCATTAATTCTAAAACTAGTAAATGTAAATTACACATTTTTGATAATACACTTTTTCTCACAATTCACGTAATGAAATGTTACTGAACTTCGACTCTGATCGAAATGAAGGTAGACTGTTTTATTGATAATTGCATGTGATTATTTTATCTTATTTTGCAGCACTGCGGTCATTCGAACAGTACTTGCAATGTACGGCGCCGCCGCAATACGACCCCTTTCCACAACGCTGTAGCTCGAGCGTAGATTGTTTCCCCAACCTATGTTGTGCAGAGGGTGGCAAAAAACATTGTCGGCCTCCTCAACGTAGTTTATTCTCTCTACTCGCTGGTGTCACGCAGGTAAATTATTATACTAATATTATAAATGCGAAAAGATGGATGTTGTTAGTTTGTAGCTTAAACGGCTGAACGGAATTACATAAAATTTGGTATAGACATAGAAAGTGTAGTTTGGAAGAACTGGCTACTCTCTATTGATTTTTAATTCCACGCGGACGGAATCGCTGGCGAGAGTTAGTTTTGCTTAACAGGTATTATTAACAAGCCTAATAGCTTATGACGACTGGCACTGTTAACTCTTAAGGTAGTATGCTAAAATATATTTTTTGCAAGTAATTGATATTATTTTTTGGTTTTCAGAGATTTGGGTAAATGTACAAAATGCCGCCTAAACAAAAGAGGATGTGTAAAAATATGTAATTTATGTTTTTATTTTATACTTTTATATTTTTAGAAATAAATAATGTATGTAATTAATAAATGTATTTTCATTTTTAAAATATTTCACTAAAAGAACAAGGAAAAAAATTGTTAACTCATAACTACAATAGTCCCTTGCTGACAAATATTTGCAGGGGCTGTACTACCAAGGATCCCCTTATAGCCAACAACTTGTAATATCATAAATTGAATATAGATTCTGTATGTTTTACTCTGAAGTAGGTTAAGACTAATAGAAAACAGTTACATTTGATAATTGTGTACAAACACAACAAATGTACATTCATTTAATTTTGGTATTATTTGATTATTATAAAACTATTATTATGATCAATCACAACATTAGAATAAGTTGTAAAATGTTAAAATGTGTTAGTACATATGAGAGATATTCCAGGACTATGCTTCAAGGCAAAGGGTGAAAGCTGTGTGTGTTGAGAATGGATTTAGTACCAGTTCATAACTTTCAAGATGTAATCACATCTATTGTAATATCTAGATAGTAATGTTATTGAAATAAAACACTGGTATTATTTTTTTAGTTTATTAACCTAAGATATCTCCATCCTTAGTCCAGCTGAAACAAAATAAAAAATGATTTACTACATATATATAATAACATCTATGTTTAAAAGCTTAAGTTTTCTGCAATACATTAGTGATATTGTTCAGATCTTTATGTTATCCGAATCACTTCAGTCAAAGCTTAAACTAACAAAGTGTAGAAACACACAAACAAAACAATCAAATACCTTCCTTCCTAGCTTGAATTGTAAAAAAAAATATTATTTTTTAATTTTGTTTTGAAATTGTAGTCTAAATTTTATTTTATTGTTTCTAAGAAGTATTAGAAAAATTGTGATATTCCTGTGATAGTTATGATTAAGACGTTAATTTAGGTTTAAACTTAGCATACTTTTGAAATAAGGAAAAAACATCCGCACCCCAGCTCCCTGGTTAAAAAATACGTCAGGGGAACGATAGGGCAGCATAAAGCCGCCAAAAAGTTCCTTCAGACAACATAGATATATCAGCAATATACTTGAATTTACTACATTATGAAAAGTAATAATTTCAAGGTGATAGTGCGTTATTTAAAAAAAAGCGACCACAAAGTTGTTTATGGTGTAGAAAAAGCTGATGTTCATAGTAATCTGCTTATAATGAGTATAGAAAAATAATTACCTTCTTAAAACCAATGTCATGTGCGTATTCTCTGAAGCACTGTCTGCAAATGTTCAAACCATACTTGCGGATAAGTCCATGTCGGTTAGAACAAGCTCGGCTGAAAAGAATTTCGTTATAAAGCACGTGTTCAAAGATAACCACAATTTTACAATTTCGTACCACAAATTATAAAACTATATATACCATGAACGAGATCCTTGCCCGTATCTTCGGGGGTGAGAATACCAGATATTTGCGTGACCCATCACGAAAATTAAATTTTCGTAAATTAATCGCTGAAAAACACGTCCAAAATGGCGATTTCACAGAATAAAAAGGATGTTCCAGTTTGAGTTTGACAGTTTGTTATTAATTTGGCAAAGAGTGAAAGACACAGAGCACGAAAGACTGGGAGTAACTTGTAGGAAAAGTTAATTTGTAAAATTCTCAAATAAAATCGGGCACCAGAAAACAAGGTAGACTAAAGGTCTTTTAAATCTACTCATCGTGTAATTATTTACATTAATGGGCCCTAAAGTTTTATAAAACATAGAGATCCTTGCTTGTTCATGGTAACTCAACAATATTGATGTCCAGCATATTGCAGATCAGCTCTCGCGTACTTCTGAGTAGGTTTATGAACCGGCTCGTCGCTCAGCTGAATTTGTACTAGCATGGAGACATGCGGACCTGCAAATTGTTCAGGAAATTAAACTAGGTCTAGTTATCTTCATATTCATTATTCACTCTCAGTTATCTATCAATCAATTATCTAAATATAATTATTATAAAAAAAACTATTGAGATTGAGCCCCAGCTCAACTGTTCCAATCTTTGTGACCTGAATTTTTGAGTGGATTAAGAATTGATTGTTGATTGCACACGTCTACTCACTTGCGATTTGACATTCACTTATTCACTTGACGTCCCACAGAGTCCAAGTTCCAAGTTATGAGTTTTTTCCTTCATTTTGACTTTTAGATATTAGACGTGTCGTATTTTTTGTTGCGTTTTTAAACAAATTGAACTAAAATGGGGTTATTTACATGTCTTTTTAAATTGGCGTTGAAGATATTAATATATTTTGCAGTATTTATATCTGTTATTCTCCTCATTCCGAATTTACCTCCATATACGAAGTTCACCGCTATAAAGTAAGTAGCATAAAAAGTTATTCCATTTTACCGTTATGTGAAAGTAATAATTTTGAAATTTTAGGCTTGAACCTACACAGCCTAGAAGTGGAGCTTTAGCTCCTAATGCAGCTCTTAATAATGCGGATAAATTATTTACCAATAAATTAATTGGACCTGAATCATTTATAATATTTAATGGTGAACTTTATACTGGTCTTGCTACCGGTGAAGTTGTAAAAATTTCACCTGGCGGTCATATTACTTTTGTTACGAAAATAGGTCACCCTTGCAGTGAGTATACCATTTTTTTTAATTCAACACATTTAAGTAGGAGATTTTTTAGTTGACAATTGAAAGTTGATTTGAACTATTGTGTTGTTGTATTTTTCAATCTTCCTCTAATGCGCGGTTTACAGTTGGTCAGTAGCACTCTGATTGGACTGTCAATTAACTAACAGAGTGTGTTACTTGCCGTCATAATTGTCCAATTGTACTGTTCAAGCGTGAACCAGGCATTACTATATAGTAAAACTGCATTTTAGGTGATAACATCTAGTATTTTATAGTACATTAATATTGATTTAATTTGTTGTTATATATGGATATTTAAACTGCATTTAAACTACTGATATTGAATGCAGGTTAATGATAACTTGTTATTTGTAAAACAAATATATTTTACTGATAACCTTTATGTATTTTACCTATTTCTTTTACTTTTAGTCTGTTGTCATACATATTGAAAATAATGTTTTAAAATATCTTAACAAAAGTTTGTTTTTTTAATAAATCATGTATCACAAGTGTTTAATTTATTCTAAACTTATTTACAAAACTCGAACAATAGTGTTACCAGAGTTATAGATAATAAATGATTATTTTAATTATATGATAAGGTTATACAAACTTATTGTTTCAGCTGGCCTTACACAAGAACATATCTGTGGCCGTCCTCTTGGACTAGAGATAGATGAAAAGAATAACTTATTATATGTAGCAGATGCATACTATGGTATTTGGAAAGTAAATCTCAATAATGATAAGAAACAGCTACTTGTTTTGCCAAATGAGGCAATAAATGACAGATATCCAAAAATATTTAATGACATTGCATTAGACAAGAATGGCAATCTGTATTGGACACATTCATCAAGTGATTATGACTTAAAGGATGGTGCAATGACACCACTTTCTGACCCATCTGGGAGGTAAGTTTTTAATAGGAGGGGGTAACATGAAGTAATATAAAGGCCCTATATGCATAGACAATAACATAATGCAGAGTAGGTATTACTAGAGGGAAGTAAAAGTAAAAAAGAAATTAAAAGCATTGACCTTCATATTCACTGCATATCATGCTGTAAAAATATCAAGCATAAGATTATTTTGATATTTTAACATGTAATTAATCTGAGCAGTTTTTATTTTTATCAAATATAACTATCAATAAGCTTTCTTTCAGATTGTCATTTTACAATTCAAAAACTAATAGAAGCGATGTGCTTCTTGATGACCTCTGGTTTCCCAATGGTGTAGTTCTATCACCAGATAATCAATTTGTATTAGTGAGTGAATCAAATCGCTACAGGGTAGTTAAATATTACATTAATGGACCCAAGAAAGGAAAGACTGAAGTTTTTGCAGCGGGTTTACCAGGTAAAGATCATTTATTATATAAATATAATAAACAGAGATTAAAATGAAATAATTTTTATTGACAAATTAGTATTTATTGACATAACATGGGCTATTAAAAAGTTTCTTTATCATATAAACTTGTATCATCCCAACAATGAACATAAAAGTTATTTGAAAACCTGACCACACATCCACAATGAAAGTGTCTTCAAAAGCAGTGTAACTGTCACGTGACTTCATTGCGCCGTACCGCTCCAGCTGGTGTCTCGCCTGGCCTACTGACTTGAGAGTCCGCATCAAAGACTCCGTTATATTAGTTACGTCGATGTAATATGTTACTCCAGCTTCATCCACTCCTGTCCACTGTACAATCTCCTCCAACTCTTCACCTTCCACCACGGTCGGCTCCTCTTCCATATTTTTATTTTCGATCAGCACATCAACGAACACGAGCTTAGAATTCATGATACTATACGAATTATCCAAACAAAAAACATATTCACCCTCATGCTCCAATTCCATAAGAAACGTATTCTGGGATTTCTTGTAATCTGATAATAGTTTCACACCGTTTGGATCCAAGATATCGAAAGATATGTCCAAATCGCCATGTTGTCCGTCTAAAACTTCGTAATGCACCTCCATCATTTGTCCAACTTGACCATGTTCAAAGAAACATGTCCGTGAGCCAGGATCTACACGAAAATTCATATCTGTTTCGTAAATGTATTGTGAATTCACATTTTTGAATATAATTGTAATGATAATGCAAGAGGTTAAGAAATACATATTTAACAGGTGAACGCAATGATACTAAGCTAAGCCATATCAATACTTCACTGCTATAATACGACGTAATATTTACACAACTGTTTTTGGAGGTTTAATATGAACACGGCTAAAACAAAACACGAGCAAGCATTCTCTTTTGTCATAAAAAAAACAGTTTTGTTTAATTGGTTTGAAAAATAAACATTTTTATTTCCTTACCAGGAGTTCCAGATAATATGAAAGTGTTGCCCGACGGCTCCGGTGTTCTTGTGTCATTGTACGTCGCCTTCGAAGATGAATATCCAGTCCTTAGTCGGACACTCGCCGAGACACCGTTAGCAAGGAAATTCTTAGCGCGTCTTATTAGAATTATAGAAATACCTTTCGAATTTCTTAACGAGCAATATCCACATGTCATATTTGAGGAAATTGTATACAAGGTTAGTACTGAAACTAAGAGAAATACGCAAATTAATTACTTGTTTTAAAAAACATATTTCTTTTCTACAGATTGGACATTTCTCCAGTTTATCTGGTATTTTACCACCAATGTCTGGTATATTGCAACTAAACTGGGACGGCGAAATAGTTGCATCGTATTTTAATACAGACAAAAGTATCGGTAGAGTTAGTGACGCTATTGTATATAACGATAAGTTGTACATAGGAAGCCCACATTCATCGTATATTGGATCCGTTGCAGTTCCACCATTTATAAAGAATGCCTTTTCTAAGACTCGAGCAGGTGTGGATAATAACGCGGAAGTAAAAAAGACACAACCCAAAGTTGAATCGGCACCTACTGCTAAAATAGTTCAGAAATCAGAAACTGAAAAGGTGAAAGTCGCTGAAAAGATAGATATACCTAAACCTCCAGTACAAAAAACTAAAGAACCTGTACCTGTGCAAAAGCCATTAGAAAAACAACCAAACATCGGTAATCAACAGATAAAAAAAGAATCAAGTAAAACAGAAAAAGATGACGTAAAAGTAAATAAACAAGAAACTGTGACGAAACCTAAGCCTGTTGAACCAAAACCAATCAAACAAGAAACTGCAAGTACGCCTAAACCAGTTGAGACTAAACCTATTAAAGAAGAAACAAAACCTAAAAAAGTCGAAACTAAACCTATTAAAGAAGAATCTAAACCCAAAATAGTAGAAACAAAACCCAAGAAGGAAACTGACGACAAACCTGAACGAGTTGAAAGTAAACCAATTCAACAAGAAAGTGTAACAAAGCCAAAAACTGTTAAAAAAGAATCAATTAACCAAGAGTCTAAAACTGTTCCTGTGGAACCGAAAAGTGCACCTAAAAAACAGACTGTGCCGCCGAAAGGAACGGAAAATGTTAATACTAAAACAGAACCAAAAACAGGGCATAGCAAAGAGACACCTAGTAAAATACCTAAAACAGATGCTAAACAAAATGTTGTGCAACAAGAACCAGTCAAGGCAGCTAAAGTCGAGAAACCTGAGGGTAAAAAACAACCATCACAGTCTACGGACAAAGATAAAATAAAAGTTGTGACTCCAAATGGACCCAAAAAACCTGTCCCAGATCAAATTCCAGTAAAAGAAGAAATCCCGTCCGATAGAGTCCAGCCTCCTAAGGAACCATTGAAAGTAATAAAAAAGACTGGACCAGTAGAAATCCCTAATCCTATCTAAAATAAGGTTGTGGAACATTTGTTAATTCTAGGTTATAACGGGATTTGAGGTTATGACACCAAGAGAAATATTTATTTAAGAAAATAATCACTATATCTTTTTAATTATAACAAACTAATATGGTACAAAGATATCATTAAAAGTAAATTGAGTCAATTAGATCATTCCAGATCACATTCCTAAAAATTATGTTTTGAAAAATTTATCTAAATTAAGTACAATATATTAGAATTTACAAAGAACATTGATGTTCTCATATTAGTTTTGGATCTCAGAGATTTTGGCTATAAAATATTAAAGTATTAAACAATGAGGCTGAACAGTGTGTTGGATAAGTTATGAAATTTTTTGAATAAACATTTTTTCGAATCAAGCAAGATCAAACATATAGTTTATATATTTACAGGTTACCATAAAAAAGTGCAATAAAACGTATGTAAATATTGCAAACATTCTTCCTCATATTGTTTTATTAATCTCGTGTTTTTATACATTTTTCTACGTGTTTTTTAAACTTACGTTGTTTTTTTTTTATTTTGTTTAAAGTTGTAAATGTAAAAATAACGCACATTATTTTTGAATATTTTTTTGTATTGAAAATAAAATTATTTATAGAAACACGTTTTATTTCTTTTGTATTTATTGTACCGTAACTTCACGCGTACACCACGTTAAGGATTCCTTTATGTTGCTATTAGCAAAGATGATACTGGCAACTATAAACAATATTAGGAGGTAGAATAAAAAAAAGGTTTTAATAAATATATATTTAACACACATTAGTTGCAAAAAAACTTATAACCACCCACTCTGTGTCATAATTAAAATTATTGTATGGAATGTTAACATATCAATAGAGGCATGATTATGAGGAGGGTAACACCAAAAGTGTAAATAACTGGTTTCCATAAATCTATCTATCTATAAAAATAAAACCCTTTCAGTGCTTAAGACATTTGATAAATTGCGATTTTGCCAATAAACTAACAAAGTATTCTATTATTTTACCTAATAAATTGTTTCATTCTTTGTCCGATAATCGACATATTTAGCAAAAAAACTACTTATTCTAGCGTTACTCGAACTATTTACGCTAATTTACATCTGTTGATATATTTTACATAACAGGTAAGTACTTAATTGTCGGTTAGTTACAAAATGTTCATTGTACATTAATATCATCCAATGTGTATCTAATACAAATGAGTTTATAAATACGTAAACATTCAAACTTAATTTTAGTTAAATTTTAACTCAAGACCTAAAATGTAGACTACAGTATTATTCCAAACTTTGTTATTACAAAACGTTTCGTTCAATTAATCCTCCATGTTTACTAGTTTCGAAATTAACAATAGTAATTTATCTTTTTACATAATACAATTATGGCAATTATCAAATAGTTGTAATAGGCATTTTCTTATAGTAAATGTTGTTTATAAAAGATCTAGATTTTGAATTTACTAAACATAGGCAATGGTTAGTTTTTATATTCGTAATATTAACATGTTGGCAATATATCTGTAGGCATAAAAACTACTTGCACTTTGTTTTAGATACAAACTGGACACAACAACGATTTATAACAAACACAATCAACCAATCGTGTTACTTGTATGTAATATTTTTAAATATAATTACCCAGAGTAATCTATCTACATAACATTTTCATTATGTACACTATCAAACATTACTCTTTGGGGTGTCTTTTTTAATATTTATTGCGATATTTCACATTTCCTCTATATCTACATTATAATATCTACGTTTCTGATTATTTTGCATTATTTGAATGTCATACTTAAACTAAAGTTTTTTTATGTAGGGGGAAATTATAATTAAATTAGCTTTCATTAACAAAATAAAAATATTTTTATATGAAGAGTTCTGACACCTATATTAAAAAGATATTCAATTAATATAAACGCAATTTTAATACAATATCTAAAGTTACATGATAATTCGCCAATGCACTGAGGAGATTTGTATAACGACTTGTCTTATGTAAATGTTTTTTCAATGCAAATTAAACTTAAAATTGTGATAAAACATCACTGAATAGATTTTAGTTAGTGTTTTTCGGTAGAAATACGCTTGTGTCTTAATTAAGAGCAAATATTGATGAACTTGAGAGCCAATGCACCAACAAGGGGTCAATTTTTTAATTCCTAAACAAAGTTTCTGTAAGTAAGTTGTGAGAACTCTTCATATAAAAACTGTGTTACAATCTGGTACTAGACCATATTAAAAATGATTTGATTACAGATTTTTTGATAGTTTGGAGTCTATACCAATTTCACTTGCAAGGTACCGGGTCATATCAAACGAATATTAGTAATAATGTTACGAAAAATAGGATTTTTATTATTTTTGAAAGTAAAAATCCTGTTTTTTATAACATTTTATAGTAATAAATAATGTATGAAAGTTTTTACCGGAGGGGAACCTAAATAGGGGTGTTCATTGTACTTTTTATCTATTTTTCAATGGGGATTTATACTCAATTACAACAAACATACCTCATCGTTACAATATATTTATTTTAGACTCGATTCAAATAATTAGAGTCCCATTCAAAGCCGTTTTCATTTTCTTATATTAATTTTACACTAATGCCTTGTTTACGTAGGCTAGTAGTTTAGTCGAGTACTGAGTAATTTAGTACTTAAAATTAGGATTTCAACGGAATCAGATGCGGATGCGGAGGTTAATGGAAGTGGAGGCAGATAAACAAATATTAATTGTGATTTATTAAAGAATTAAAAAGCAAAACACAGTTCAATTATAGAATTGTGTAACTACTAGTTCTAAATTCTCTTGCCTATATTTAGTCGAGATAATCTATTTTGTTCTATTACTCGGCAAAAGCCACCCACTACAAGTTACTTAAATTCCGGACTTTTAGTAGGGTTTATTAACACCTAGGACGCCGTATCTTTTTGTCACACAGTGTCTAGAACACTGTGTATGTGGCCTGGATGTATGAATTTCAAATGAACTAATTCCCAAGCCAATGTATGTAAATGTCACACGGATAAATCCAAGGAAAAATGGGGAAAAAAGGGGATTAAAAACAATATATGATATATTATGTAGTTTTAAACAAATTCCAAGAAAAAAAATAGTATTTTTTTTAGGGTTTGGTGCTGAGGGTGTTAATAAACAAAAAGTGTACTGAACTGTTACAGTGTGGACAACTTTTGTGCAGTAGAATATTTTACCTACGACTCATTACTCGATTTAACTAGCCTAGCGAACTCGGTAAGTGTTCCTTTAACAATCATTAAACATAATTTCAATAATAAAAACCTGTAAGTGAAATTGTCAGTTTCCAAGTTTTCACCAAAATGCTAGTTTTTTCGTTATTGTGTTCCTTTGTAGCTAAATGAATACTTGTTCAGCTGCGAGCGCGTCCGCGAACGGTTTGACGACGCCGCGAGTCGCGAAATAAAATATAAGTCCAAAGGTTATTGATATAGGCAGCGCTGGCAGAGCCTTCTTGAATATAGCCAGCAGTAGTAACGTTAGACATAGACCCTGAAAAAAAAAATGCACTGAGATGGCTCATGTACAGTCCACTTTAGGAAAAATTTCCTTGTTAATAGCAACAAAACAAACTTCGTCTCTTCCTACAAATAATTAGTCAGCAGCGAGTGCAATAAAAGGGAAAATAATATTAAGAAAATAGATGTGTAATAATAATCGACTTCGACTTTTTTTCGTATAGATACATTTATAAGCTGCATTTCTGTCTCGTTTCAAAAGATTCTAATTATTGTAGGTTTTAAAATGGAACGACGTCCGTTGCCTCGGCTGTACACTATCATGAGCTAAAATTTTGCGGTTTGTCTTTTTTTTTTTTTAATTAACTTGATGAATATAAATTTCCGTGAAAATTAAAAGTAACAATAGAAAGAAGAGCAGATTTATGTTGTCTACTGTATGTCTGACAATTCGTAATCATACCAATATTATAAATGCGAAAATTTAGATGGATGGATGGATGGATGTTTGTTATAGTTTGTATCCTAAAGAGCTAAACGGATTTCGATAAAATTTGGCATAGACGTAGAGGATAGTCTGGAGGAACACATAGGCTACTCAGTTTTGTTTCTTTTTTTAATTCCACGCAGACGGAGTCGCGGGCGAAAACTAGTCAATCATATTTCAAAGTTTTGTAAAATTTGCATTTCAAACGTATGATTGTTTACACAGGAGTCATCAATATGTAAAATTAATAGTAATAGGTAGAACTTACAATAAGTATAGCTACAAAACAGGCAAGAGTAGTATTCCAGTCGCCGTACGAGCTCGCCTTGCCGACCAGCACGCTGTAGAAAATGAAGTCGCCCAGACCGAGTTTCACGCCCTCTATAAAAGTATTAAATATTTTTTACACATTTTACATTAACTTAAATGCACTTTAAGTAGAACATTTAATAAAAAATATAAATCTGGATACTAAATTTTTTTATTATTTTTCCTGTATTATAATGATTTTGCAGTAAACATGATTTTTTCGTAAGGTTTGGAAAAATCACACATTAAAAGGTTAAGGGAACTTTATACTGAAATTACGGTATTGCCGCCAATATTTAAAATTACGAAGATTAATTCGGTGTTTCTAATTTAAATCTATCTTTATCTTAAAATGTCATCGACTTTAAAATCTAATTTAGAACAAAAATTGTATATGGGGGGTAAATTTACTTACTCTCGTCTTCAAGTTCAGGCGG